AAAAAAAAAAAAAAAAAAAAAAAAAAAAAAAAAAAAAAAAAAGAATAATAATTAAAAGAAAAAGAAAAGAATTCTCTAACACCCGCCAATCTCCCATCGAGTTGTCTCTCAAAGACATTCATCATATTCAAAATTAGAGCCTGAATAGTTTGATAAGATTACAATGACTCTCTTAACCCCGGGTTATTTAAGAGCTGAGATCTGATATATTATTGCAATTAGCAGACAAAATCACATACAAATTCAGCCTGTTTGTCAGCTATTATATTTACACCAGTGGGTTCTATCAATAGTGCCAATAATGAGATTTGAACATATCAAAACCCCCGACCTTGTACCCTACTTAGGTAATTGCGAGGGCAAAACCCATGCAACTAGAACAATTATTATCAAACTCAGCTCTCTATTCGATATCGAAAAGTCTATAGAGAAACCACTTGAGTAGTGACTGATCAAGCTCGTATCACATTATCCAAAGGTAAAATACAACTCTTCCTGGAAGGACTTTACCCCTACAAGAATATAGAAGCAGATTCGCTGTACATCGTGGAAAGGCCGAGTTGGATCTTCCTGCAAATTGCAGATGTGTGGGAACCTCCATCTCAACGAATGGATTGTCGGATTGAAGACAACCTTCTGCTGATTGAGCATTTAGTATCAATACCTCGCTGTTTAGGTTTAGAGATCTTCGGTGTTATCCAGCAAACTCTCTATCGCACCTGCAAGTGCAGCATACACGTCAATGGGTTCAATTGACTGCTGCCCAAAGTGGCTGAATGGTTGCCATAAAACTGGAGCTCTCATTATGTCCTGCAGCAGTTCGCGCACGGTTGATTAGATATATCACAAATATGACAGGTTGAGTGTGAGCTGTGGGAAAACACATTTAAAGTCACATTGCGATGTGTCCCCCCGTGCATGAACTAGTGAATTGTCCTGCGACGTGCAATACAATAAAGCTAAAGATACCGGTCAAAGCAACTTCGACGTCAAATACCACGAATGTATGCTGAGAAACATTCTTTTCGACTGGTCTACTAAGGTAGTTGGTTATTGGCCTTGTTCTAAAATTAGGGCCGGGGCCTAACCGATAATAGTAGGCCAGACCCTGAACCCTGAGGCTAGTGGTAACGCTAGTTCCGCCGTATACTAGTGGTATTGAGCCAGTAAAAATCTGGCCAGACCCGGTAGTGATCATCTCAATATGAGCCCTCATCCTGCTGGGTATACAAACACCACGTCCCATTCTCGCAATATTTAATACTGTCGGGACGCCATATTGTCGTGAGAAAGTCACGGCCCCTTTGTGTGCATCGGTCAACGTTCACTCCACCCACCATGCAGCGGCTCTACGCTCTTGCTTTACTGTCATGCTGCGCACAAGCCCAGGCCAAGGCAGTCTTTGCCCATTTCATGGTACTCGAATCCTTCCCCCCGCCTGAAGTACATCTACTGACATACTATATCTTATACTAGGTGGGTAACAGTGCCGAGTTCTCAGATAAACAGTGGAAAAAGGACATCCAACTGGCCCAAAACGCCCACATTGATGGGTTCGCGTTGAATATGGCCCACAACGAGATGCTCCCCGCGGCCCTTGATAAAGCCTTCGACCAAGCCGATGACCTCGACTTCAAACTCTTCTTCTCATTCGACTATGCTGGTAACGGATCCTGGCCCAAGCAAGACACGATCGACCTCATGAACAAGTACAAAGACCGCCCGGCCTACTACAAATACGACTCCAAACCATTCATGTCCACCTTCGAGGGCGCAACATCCAAAGACTGGCCTGAGATCAAGAAACAAACCGGTGCCTTCTTCATCCCCGACTTCTCGTCCGTCGGTCCCCAAGACGCCGCCAACAGAAGCTACGTGGATGGGCTGTTCAGCTGGGCCGCCTGGCCAAACGGGCCTACCCGCATGAATACCTCGTCCGACGATGCATACAAACATGCGCTGGACGGTCGCCCATACATGATGCCGGTGTCGCCCTGGTTCTACACCAATATGCCCGGCTTTGACAAGAACTGGGTATGGGCCGGTGATAACCTGTGGTATGATCGCTGGGAGGAGGTCATTTCGTTCCAGCCGGAGTTCGTCCAGATCATTTCGTGGAATGATTACGGCGAGTCGCATTATATTGGCCCGCTGAATGATGATAGCTATGAGGCGTTTGACCGAGGAGAGGCCCCCTTCAACTACGCCAAAAATATGCCCCACGATGGCTGGCGCACGTTCCTGCCGTATGTCGTGGATCAGTACAAGAACCCGAACTCGACAATTCCGATCAAGGAAGAGAACGTTGTGATCTGGTATCGTCTCCATCCGGCGTCGGCATGCACCACCGGCGGTACGACCGGAAACTCGGAAAGCCAGGGCCAGGTCGAGTACAAGCCGTCCGAGATTGTCCACGATCGCATCATGTACTCGGCGCTTCTCAACTCCACGGCCGATGTGAAGATCAGTATCGGAAAGACCACGGTGACAGGCAGCTGGGATAACGTCCCCAAAGACGGAAAGGGAGTCTACCACGGCAGTGTGCCCTTTACCCAGTCCGGAAAAGTGAAAGTGAGCATATCACGCGGCGATAAGGAGATCGCCAGTATCTCTGGCGAGCACATCACGTCCGAGTGTCCTAGCGAGGAGAAGGGGTTCCAAAACTATAATGCCTGGGTTGGCACTTCCGGGGCGGATGGTACCATGGCACCGTCCCATGCCATGCGTCTATTCTCGCTCGGAATCGCCATCTTTATTTTGGCGAGGGAGATGATTATGTTGTAATGCGTTTTAATGTTAATGTTGAATATATAGCTCCAGTACGAGGGACCACAGTGAGCAAAATGCATCTAACGACAATTACTGTACATACCTGGCCACCGGGGAAACACAGCCGGACAACATCCATACAGACAAATGTGCTCCGTATGTCTATAATGATTTCCGCGGCCACGGAAAATGAAGATTGCATAATCATCACCTGTAGATATTCTTCAGCCAGTCCCGCATTCACTCTTCGTCGTAACGAGAACACGTGTCGTGGTGTTATCCAGAACTAAGAGAGGGAAGGTTCAGACCCAAACCGGCTAGACACGAAATTGCACCAGCGGAAGCTAGAAGCACACCATCGTTTAGACGACAAGAGGAGGCCTCCGAGAATTTCACCGACGCCAGCCAATGATCGCGTGGGATTCCTCCAGCTCAAATGTGAAGAGATGCGGGGACGCCATCCCACTCGTAGCCAAGCTTGTTTTCACACCAATGGAATACCTGCATGAACTATCCAAAGGAGGGGCATTCGCATGGCTTCCACTGGTGGCTGATCGGTCGCGATGCGGAACAATCGGATTCAAGGACCATGAGACGTACACGCGAGATGATGTGGGGATGAAAGCGTCGCTTGCGATATTTTGTTGGGGATGGGAGGATATATAGAAATGGTGTGATTCCCTGCTGTTCTCTTCTTGCTATATTAACCTGGAACTTCACGCTCTGTGGACCTTCCTCTGGTATATATATAATTTTCTATACAAGTCGGAGAGAACCTTCATTCGCCATGCCTACTGCCGTCGATAATGCGACTCCCGCGACGATACGGGGAGGCAATGAGCAATCTCGTCCGCGCATCTCACAGCCATTGGAATATACCGGCACCCTAGACACATATACCCACCATGACCTGACGCCCGTTATCGGGAGAGAGTATTATGGCGTCCAAGTCGCCGAGATCCTCAAGTCAGAAGAATGCGATCGGATAATCAAAGACCTTGCTGCGACGAGTTAGTGGCCATACATAATCTCATCACGTCGATTCACTATTCTAACAATGACCAGTCTCCAGAAGAGGCGTAGTCTTCCTCCGGAACCAAGATCTAACCCCACAAGAAATGCGCCAGTTTGGTGAAAAGCTATCAGTCATTGCAGGATGCGTGAGCTACCCGCGCCCAGACTCATACTCTCCGCAGACCTACTAACGCAGCAAAACAGCCAGAATCATCAGCCTTGCACGTCCACCCACTAACGGAAGAAGGAAGCGAGCTGGGTGACCAAATCAGCGTCATCAGCAGCGAGAAGCAGAAGAAAGGAGGCGGTCTGACACATCAGCTCAGCGACACGAGCCGCTTCGCTTCAGTAGGATGGCACACTGACATCAGTTTCGAGCGCGTACCCTCCGACTATGCGATGCTGAAGATCCACACTCTCCCCGAGACAGGCGGCGACACGCTGTGGGCCTCGGGCTATGAGGTCTATGATCGGCTCTCGCCGCAAATGGCGGAGTTCCTGGAAGGGTTGACGGCGACGCATGATGCTACGTTCTTCCATGATGAGGCGCGGAGATTGGGGAACCCCCTACGAAAGGGTATTCGGGGCTCGCCTCTCAATCATGGTGAGGAGCTTACGGCCGTTCATCCGGTTGTGCGGACTAATCGTATGTTCTCTCTGTTTTCCTTCAGTTTGCGGTCTGGTATGGCTAACATTGCGATAGCGGTTACTGGGTGGAAGTCGGTGTATGTAAACAAGGGGTTTACTCGTCGTATCAACGGGGCAACCAAAGATGAGTCCGATATGTTATTGCAATATCTATTCAATGTGAGTTGAAGGAATAGCCGAAGTCTGGAGTCTATGTACTGATGGCATTAGCTTGTCACGCAAAACCATGACGCCCAGGTTCGGTTCAAGTGGAACAAGAACGATATGGCAATTTGGGATAACAGATCAACCTGGCATTGTGCGACATACGACTATGCGGAAGCTCGGGCTGGTGACCGAGTCTGCAGTTTGGGCGAGGCCCCTTATTTTGACACTCAGTCCAAGTCGCGGAGAGAAGCACTGGCTGAGAATTGACGGTAACGAATATCATACCATGTATGTAACTGGCGTTGGTTGTTATTTTCTACTATCTTTTTAAAATTAAGGCTGCAATAATATTCACAAATGAGAGACAAGTCTTAATATTCATTCATTGCATGATTAAACATATGAACTTCAGAGAGCCACAGCGCCAATAGCTCGTAAGTCATTTTGAGTCGCAAGATCTTTAAAGTTAAACAGACATATATAAGGGTGGAACGAGAAGAAGAGAAAACAGAAAAAGGTAACTAAAAATGATAACCACCTATCCAATTCCAGATTCCAGCTCGGGCATGGATAGGCGAACCTAAAATGGATATAGAAAGAAGTACTGCTCAATCTCCAATCACGCTTGGCATGGCTCGGACATCTTCATGTAGTTCCAGCAAACTATGCGATGTTAGTTATTGTGCATGTGAGAGCAACGACTGGGGTGAACTTACTACTGTAGCCCATATCCTCACCAAACAAAGCCCCCAGGAGCTCCTTGCCATGCTTAGTGCCCTCGTCAGGGGTATACGACACTGCCGTATGTCCCAAGGCCAGCCCCATCACAGGCGGGTAGTGGATGAGGTTCATGAACTCAGGCTTGCCCTTGGTCGCTTCTGCTAGCATAAGCTGATGGATGTTGGTTCCTGCATAGTGGCCGTGGTGTATGGCGCCTCCACAACGCTTGATACCAGCCCACTGAGCAATATCACCAACCGCGAAGTGGTACTCTGCGTTGGGGACCGGGTTGGCGAATTGAAGACTGTCACACGCTTAGTTTCCTAAACCACCAGAAACAGCGGGGTACGAAGTCACTTACTTCGGACGAATCTTAACATAGCCCTCCTCGGTCAAGGCATCCTTGGGCAGATATGATGATGTAGGCGAGCTTTTCGAAACGGCATTCATAATGTGACCGGCTCTGAGTTTCGTTCCATTCGCCAAGGTCAGATCCCATGTGCGCTTCCCTTGCTCTCCCTCTACCGCTGTGGTATCAATAACCCGTTGGCCCAGAATAACCTCAACACCCTGGTCCCTGAGCTCAGAGACGACGCGCTCCGCAAACTCATCCGGCAAGGGCTCCGCGGAAAGCAGACGATCCCGAGAATGAACCAGAGTAACCTTCTGCTGGGGATCCAGCTCCTTCAACTCAGCTGCCATTTCAACACCCACGGCACCTGGGACACCACAGTTAGCCACACTCCTTCCAACAAATGATAGGACATATATTACCTCCACCGATGACAACAACGCCATCATCTGCACCCCGGATGGCCTCTTTATGACTCAGCGCCTCCTTCAGGAACTCTTCTCTCTTCAACGACTGCGGCACCGTCGGAAATACCCGACGGAGACCCGTGCCCGCAATGAAGAAATCATATTTCTCCTGCCTCGTCTCCTGGGTCTCGAGGTCAACGATCTGGGCGACCTTGTTCTGAAAATCCACGGTGTTGACGCTGCCACGGACGATTTGGAGATTCGGGCTCTTCAACGCGGGAATGTCGCAGAACCGAGTCCATGTCTTCGACGCAAACTTGTCGCATGCCAATGCTTTGGGGGAGCCGATCAAGTGATCTTCAGGAACATGTTCGTCAGTAACCAGGTCTCGGGTCGCGAAGGTGGGGGGAATTCTCACAGAATCCATCGCGTTCATCTACAACGGTGATCTGAATCGGGATTTGATATTGGGGGGCCTTGGCACCCTCTGTGTAGTTGAAGCGAGCAAGGCGGCCCTTGGAAAGATCAAGCAGGGACAGGGCTGCGCTCAGTCCGCCGTACGAGCCACCGGCGATCAAGACGCGGAACTGGCGCAGGAGAGGGGTAAGGGCTTCGTTGGAGGGCATTGTAGCGACGGTCTACTAGGGGGGTATTATGCAAAAAGGAAATACAGATGGAGAGAGGAGATGGCAGCGACCCAGGGGAAACAATGGTGATATTCAGTGTAAGGGCAGAGGGAGCATTAAGAACGGGGATTCTTCTTTTAAAGTCGGCGGTAGTGACCGGACGTGTGCTGCGCCTGCATTGGCAAAATGGATCCGAGGCCAAGGATCAAGGACTCCGGAACGGTGGAGCTAATGGAGGTTTCTATATTAGACGAGTACGAATGGGTTAATTGCCCGCGGAGATTAGGGAACTACTAGTAGTAGGGTAGCAGTATGATATTCAGTATGCGCTGTTGCATTTGCTGTCATATTGGCGGGAATATGAAGTCTATTGCCTTGGATTTGACACTCAGAGATATATGTGATGTAATGGGGTACTCCTTAAGATGGGGGATTATATGCAATGCCGGTGTCTAATCAGATTGTCGCCCCGTTCTGGATAAACACTGCCAAGTAAAGTTTCTCGTATCTTATCAGATCCCGGCTCAGAGCGGGCACGCGAATTAATTGCGGGTTTGATTGCATAAGAGAAACTCGGTGAAGAGGGTGGAGTTGGATTCGGAAGAAAAAAAAAAGAAAAGAAAAGAAAAGGAAAAGGAGAAAAAAAAAAGGCAGGATATCCAAGACTAAGAGGAAAAGAAAAAAGACTGAAAACGGAAACTCCACTGAAAAGACACAATTACAGTTATCTGATCCGAAGCCACCCCTCCCTCGGCAACCGGCCTTCCTGTTTCTTTGTCCCGCCCAGAGTCTCACCTAAAGTCTAAAGTTATCTGATCTGATCTTGGGATCATGCCCCAAGGGTCGTCCCTACCCAGTCCAATTCCTTGAAGGCAAAGGCGGAGTGCCGAGGGGTTCTGAGTTTCAAAACAGAATGGAAAGACAGGTTATGCTTAAGGCAGTCTCAAGCAAGTCGCAGCAGATGAACCCAAAACTCCAGCTCATGGACGCTTTATGTATGTACAAAGGAGTTATGGAGTAGGGTTCATGTATATCCCAAGTACATCACTGCTGTAGCTGGTCGCAAGCCCTTTTATATTCGTTGTAAATGATCTCCCCCTTCGATTCCTATTCCTGTATCTCGTACACCCCATGCTATCCATATACAAAATGGGATGATCGTCTTGGTGCACGTGGGATTGTCTCCGTGGGTGTGTTGCATTAAGAGACGCAAATCAGTCCCTGCAGATGACCACCAATATGCCCGCATGACCATAGATTATGTCTCACAGTCTAAGAAAACTCAGATCACTAAAAGCATCGACATGAAGAACAATATCAAATGGCGACATCGGCTTTTACAACGGTAAAGGATGCGTTGCATTGAATAATTCTCTCCGATGAACCTGGACCAAGAACTAGAACCCACTACTCATCATGCCAGGGCTCAAAACCAGCTCCGATGTATCTCTCAGAGTCACGCCGGATACAAGTGGATTTGCGCCATTTACGACGCATTCCGTCCGATCTACATGCGAAAATAGTGCGTGGGACACTTGTCGGAAAGAAAATTTGCTGTCTGAGTGGAACTGGTGCTGTAAGAGGACTAGTGTGGTGTGCCGAAGTTTGTATCGTTCAGGAAATACATTGCCTTGGCCCATGTTACCATACACTCGATACATACAATACGTCCTTGACTGATAGTATTGTTTTGCATACCTTGGTGATACACTTCTCTCCTTTTTGTAGATGGGGATCGTCAACATCCTACAAACTATGCATCGAGACTAGAGCTAGGTGCATACTCCAGAGTATCGCGGGAGTGCCAGGCCGTTGCAGATGTATCGGTTGAGGTTTCCGAGAGAGTGGAAGCAAAGGTTCATGTAGATTGAGTGGTCCTGCAGCTGTCACAAGGTTCCCAGACTCTGGACGCTTAGGATTATCCGAAGAACCATAGATAATATCGTATGAGCGTTAAGCTATCCCAAACAGAGTCGACTTGCGTAGTTTCAGGCGTAACGCTCCTGCGACGCCACCTTTCTCATATAAGCATTGTGTCTAAATCCATTTACAGGAACAGTAGAAAAGAAATTGCCCGGCATTGGCAAGAGTTAGCAGATACTTTGAGATCTGTTAGATGTAGGGCATGGTCATAGATGAGCCATGGGACGGAGTTGAGTTATATATGCCCTTCTACATAACAAGATGAGTTCGACGGCTTCCATGCATTGTTACTTAGGAATGGTATGGAGCTACTTGGAAAGAAATACAGGTTATTCGGCGAGCAATATGTCATTCAATGTCTCTATACTATCAGGATGAACCGTGTAAGCTTCCTAACCTTGCCAATCGGTCGGTCGTTTACCGAAGCGCGTCCTGGCAGGGGCAGAGGTTTCCGTATAGAACGTAAATGTGTGAGTTCCCATACATCCTGTTTCGAAGACATGACTACTGCGGACTAGATTTTCCAACGGTCATATCCGATCATACCCTCTATCTATCATCGGAGGATTGTCCTAAGAGTAAGCATAGGCAAGCATCGCATCCCTGTTCGGTTCAAGCCATTCCGGATCTGTCCCTTCTATTCCATCAAGAGAGACCCTCTACAACTGTTCCACTATTATCATGTTGGCCTCAAGGTTTCCAAGATTTAACATTAGAGCCAGTTCGATGCACTGATTGCTCTTATATGATCACTCGTAAAGGAATATTGTTAGGGGCACAAGGAATTAATGTTCACGAGGTTGGACTATGTCTATGCGTCTAGCTTTATTTTGGAAGCATATGCTAGTGAACTGCCAGGCGGGAAGTTTGTTCACCCTCTAAGCTGAACAGCTCAGATATGCTGGGACATAGTCTGTTCCGCGTTCTGACCTGTGATGTTGGGTCTTCGAGGTATCTCTGTACATTTCTATGCATATATCCTTCATTTCTTGGTTGGGGCATAGATCGGTATATCTCTGGTAAGAATACGTACTGTGTAATTTTGTGTTCCTGCGGTTAAAGTACAGGGAACTGAATCACTTACTGGACGGTTTCTCATTCTCGGATAAAGTGGATCATATGGTAATATCTTGGCGCTTCTTTGTCTTTTTGTTTTTCGTATTTTTTCTTTTTTTGTTTTTCTTTCTCCCACACACAATCTCTATCTCTCTTTTCCTGTTCGTGGACCGCTGCTCTGTACTACGGACTATACACGAGCCGAGAAAAGCTAAGATCTCCAGAACCAACTAAAATTATCTGATCCGTGATACCAGACTTCATTGTGCGGCAAAAAAATCCAAGGCACAATCGATTCCACACTTAGGTAAGAGATTAAAGAAATAGCCGAGACCGGAGTCAGAATTTTTCTTTTGTATGAAGAAAATGAAGCCCAAGTGGGGGTGGTCAGCGTCGTGTATCGCGCAAGAAATAGTCATGCTCTAAGCCCTAATGAAACTTTCTTGGCGTAATTTCATCTGATTAGATGATTGTCTAATCTGATGCACTTAAACCGTTATCATTGGCATCCATAGCAAATGCCCCCGCCCTCTACCCCCACCTTCTTCTCATATTCCCTCTCTTCTTTCAATTTTTTTTTGCCCGGTACTTTCTCCAAATTTACTCTTGGAAATTGCATTTATGGATCACCCTTCTCGGAGGTTCGAGCGGGGCTTCTGGTTGTGTCATTGGGCCATACGTCCTTACTTCTCCGATTTATTTGCGTTTCCCGATCCAGGCTTCGCTACGGATGATTGCAATCTGAAATCACAATATTGGTGTCTTCGGGCGCGTCTTACCGTCAATATGAATATTATATAGTCTAAAACCGAAAATCAATTGCTCCTAGGGTATTCATCTAGCTATGTACAGCTGTGTATCATTTCAATAGCAAAAGTGCGAGCATAGGGCGAACTCAATTCGTTTTCGCACGCTGCTCCAGAACCTGTGCCGCAGTCTTCCGTAAATCCACCTTCCGGACTTTTCCACTGCCCGTAATTGGGATTGTTCGATCCACACCCTCTTCGCCAAACACGAACACATACTGCGGAGCCTTATGTCGGCCTAATTTCTCCCGTGTCCACACCCGCAACTCCTCGTCCGATGGTCGCTTGTCCTCGTAACCAGGAGCCAGAGCGATGAAAGCCCCGACCACCTCCCCGTACTTGTTGTCTGGAATGCCGATCACCGATGCAACCTCGATGGCTGGGTGGCTTGCCAGTCGCTCTTCGATTTCTAACGGATAGATGTTTTCTCCACCTGTTTGTAAAGAAACACGTACACGGTCAGTCATGACGGTTACTGTAATGTAGGGGAGGTTTGCGGAACGTTAGCCCACGTACCACGTATGATGATGTCTTTGAACCGTCCGGTAATGGTGCAGCGGCCTTGCGCATCGAATATGGCCTCGTCCCCTGTCTTCAGCCACGTGGTGCCGTCGGCGTCGGTGGTTAGGGTTTCGGCTGTCTTGTCGGGGTTGTTCCAGTATCCTTTTGTTAATTGGTAGCCTGCGATGCATAGTTCTCCTCGCTGGCCGACCGGGACGATGCGGCCTTCCGCGTCGATGATCTTCGCTTTCGCATGGGGCATCACTTTGCCCACTGTTCTCAATCGGGTTTCGATGGTGTCGGTCGTGACTGCGTTAAAGCATGTAGGTGACGCTTCCGTGAGACCTATTGATATAAGCATAAATGTTAGTTCGATCCATGTTTATATATGTCGGGATGGTATTGTTTCAACACCCACCGTAGCTGCTCGTGTACTGTGTCATATTCAATTCTTCGAACAACCGTTTCATTAACGGACGGGGAACAGGGGCTCCAGCGATGATTCCAGTGCGTAGGTTGCGTGTGTCGAAGTTCGCCGGTTTGGGTAAGCTTAGGATGGCCTCAAACATAGTCGGGACACCGTGGAGAGCAGTACACTTTTCATCGGAGATCGCGTGGAGAACTGCCTTCGGGTCGAAAGTTTCGCTGGGGAAGACGATCTTCGCCCCATGTGTGACAACAGCTAGCATTCCAAGGACAAGTCCGAAGCAATGGAACAGGGGTGGAGGGCAGCAGAGGATATCGAATGATGTGAGGTCCATACGGTCTCCGATAAAGCGGGAGTTGTTTACCAGATTGCTGGAAACAGAATAGCATTAGCAACATGCAAGCAATGATTATATGTAGCGATCGACGCTGCATCGGACATGATATGTTAGGGGCACACGTACTAATGCGTCAACATGGCAGCTTTAGGGTTTCCGGTTGAGCCACTGGTGAACTGTAGATTGCAAACATCACCCGATGTTAATTGCGCCTGTCGATCCAGCAAGGCATTGCTTGAAGCCGATAGCCCTCTTTCAATGACATTGTTGTATGTAGGGAAATTGGAGTGTTCACCCCGCAAAATGACGATCTCTTCCAGTGCAGCTGATGATCCTTTCCGCTTGGGATGGGGACCCAGATTTGACAGCACCTCCTCTAAATTATGACGACCAATGCAAGGCGTCATAAACAGTATTCGGCAATCTAGATATCAAGATAAGCTCTCAGCATGGAAGTTACATGTCGATCAACCAAGGCGCAAATACCTGTATGTTCGAGAGCATAGTAGAGTTCCGACGGCGTATAAGTATTGTTGAGTACCACTAGAATAGCCCCGACCCGTGCTGCTGCAAAGAAAAGAGAGATGTACTGTTCACAATTGCCGGCCATAATCCCTACACGATCGCCCTTGTGGATACCCATAGCCAATAGGCCTCGAGCCAATCTATCAGCCTCATCGTTCAGGTCGGAGTACGTCCATCGGGTTCCTGTCCAAGGAAACACCAGACACTCGTGTTCTCCATATTGAAGGCTCTGTAGTGCAAGTAACTCTCCGAGGGTGATGTCTAGTAGGGGAGGTTGGGTATCGCCGTAAACAATTGAAAGTTGTTCAGTCGCCTTTGGCGGCTGAAAATGTGACAAAGTCTGCTGCAGACGCCGTGTAGCTGCCATGTCGAATGTGTTTCTAGTGTCGCAGGGTCGGTCCACAGACTAAGAGTTTCTACGAGAGAGCTAGGACGGGGGATATGCCGGTTCATATATATAAGCGTCCTATTCTAGGCTGTAATATACCTCGGGAGTTAATTGTCTTTGCTTGGATCCTTCTGGGCGTTCCATCAAACGCCTCTTCTCATCTCTCGGCACTCAATACCCAAAGTAGCAATGGAGCATGTACTAACTTAGTAAATAGCTCGTTCTTGTCCTTATACTTATCCACCCGGGACCCGTTCCAATCAACAAGGTTGCTCCAAGACCTAGATCTTACGTTTTTCGACCCGGATTTCACCTATGGGCATTACCACATCGCTTGCAGAACTGGGAGACGAAAAAATTCCAGGTCTCAGCCATAGCCTTCCTGTCTCCACTGGTGGCGCACCGGTCTGACAGACTGGTGGGAGGGTCCGGTGTAGCCAATCCGGGTGTTTCAGCGTATCTCACTCGGTTGGGGTAAGATCAGATAACGGCTGCTGTGGACTGAGCTCGGAAATTTTACCATAGCATCCGAGCCGTTAATGAACGAGCACAACTTTCCTACATGACTCAATCTTCATTATTAAAAGTGTCTCGCCTGGAATTTACATTAGGCATTTGACTCATCTTGAAACGTGGCTAGAGGAAAAGCGTGAAATAGGGGGGTTTAGTTATCAGATTAGATCAGTATATATTGACGTAAAAGGCTGTCAGGTCCCGAAAAAATTTATTCCACAAATGCCCTCCAAAATGCCTCGGTCCAGACGGCATACGCAGGCCAATGTTCATCGCAGCAGAGATATTTGTTATTTCCGTCTCATTAATGTGCAGGAGTTAGCCAAGCTAGCCAAGCCAGGACAAGACGCCAGCGCACTCGGCTATAGACTTTTTTGCCGGCTTTCTCTGGTTCCTCGTCAATAAGAAAGCTAAATAAACGAGCAACAGAGAGAAGTAGTCATGAATACTACGCTTGGCAAGAAAGATCGATTGATCGAGAGTCAAAGAACTATCGAGATGCCATGAACTATGACGGATATACCCGCCCTTGCCTATATTGGTTGAACAAAGCAATATCGGATGCTTCCAGGGTCAGCTTGGATTCGGCATTAGTTACTCTAAGCCGCAGGGATCGACCATGTCTTTGTCTTATTGAGGGTAGTTCCTGGCGGGGCCTAGCATCCCGTTTAGAACCAGGCACTCTATTATTATCAACTGCCTTACCCGGCTGCATAGCTTGCAAACGCGTGGTTGAGGTATATATAGTATGAATCATCCACGGCAAATTTCTTGGAACAGCAGCGCTGTGAGATAATAGCACTTTGTCTTTAATTGTGGAACTGGAGACTGGTGTATAGTCGAGCGAACACGTATAAACGCTTTCACCATACCAATGAACTGGACCATTATATGGAGCATCTGACAACCACCCCTGCCATAATCTGTTGTGGAGACTCTTCAGGCAAATGTCATGACTAGGGCAGAAACCTCAGACCCTGTCGGTCGTTGACAGGAATAACTTCTGCATAAGTGCACAAGTCCTAAGGAGCAAAGGCAAGCCATGTAGCCGCACATGGAAAAAGCCTCTTGGAAGATCGACAGATCTAAGAGCACATATTACCCAGGATTGGGTTTCAACTCAGGGCCCTGGCCACAGTCGCCAAATGAAGCCTGTGATAGAATACAATTCGATGAAAGTATTTTCAGCTCGGAGTACTGTCATTAATACAGTACGGCCGATACAATACTAGTGAAAACGGTATGAATCTAATCAGATGATCTAATCAGATAACTCGGCCGATGACCGGAGAGAGTGACTGGCTCGTCCCCACTTCGCGACCGACGGTAAGAGAATCGGGGGAGTGATTGGCGCGTCATCCGCGCAGTGTGGTGTCGCTCTCAACTTTTTGCAAATCCTGCACATCACAATCAATACCATTGTAATTACCGCGGTAGCCCGCTGAGTAACCCCCACTTTGTCATGTTCTGTCCAATGAACTTGTGTGGTGATCCTTTGCGTTCCCACGGATGACGCCGTACGATGGTTCCTGAGTTTGCTGCAGAATGTGGCTTTTTAGCTGCAGTTGCAAGAATATCTTGGTTGCAAATCTTTCCAGCTCCTCTGACTAGCTGTGATTTCCATTTATTTGTACGCGCGCAAGTGCACACTCTTGCTGCAGAAGCAAGACCAGTTTCGCTGAGTTCGCAGGTGAGTAGCCGCAGTGACCCCGCACTACTGAAGCAATGGCAAGCAAAATCACGAGCGATGAGGGGTACGGAAGCTCCGCGGACTCAGTCTGCGAAAAGACCCTTTCCTTGAGCAACAGCGCCTCGACCATAACCATGAACGAAATACTGCCCGTTACCAAGGTTCCAGCCTTGGACACGATCGATCCATACGTTGTCAATAGATCAGCCGAGTGCGCGGTAGCCAGAAGTCCCCCACTTGAGCTATCTTACAGTACGGAATATCAGAACCTCGCCGATGACATCGTCCAGGGCTATGCGCGTTTCATATCTAGCTTCACCGGGCTCGAGGATGTTGCTTTCTTCGTATCCCGCCACTCGCCCTTCGTGTCGGCCACGCAACAGACATGCGGAGTCATTTGCGCCTCCGTGTTTTGCTCCGATGGTGCTGAGCAGCAGAGGGGCGAAGAATGCTGCAAAGTGCGCGAAGTAGATACATGCTACTACAACAAGGACGAGATCCAGTTTTCGTTGACTCTAGGATTGAGCGTCGGACCTGAAAATGGCGAGCTACAACCTAGCGTCCAAGAAAATGTTGGTCTTCTCTAAAGATAGCTTGTGCACTTTACTTAGGTAACTGACGCACCTGTAGGTATTCGGCTTGAATGTTACATCTTCCACGAATGACGGTGTTCTACAAATCGATTTTACCTATCCGACGCAGCTCATTCCGGATACGGCAATCTCTCAACTGTTGAAAACGCTCGCCTCACACCTAGCCGACTCGTCTCCATTCCTTAGCCCCGATATATCCCCTCCTGAGCTTTCGATCATTAATTTCCCTCCACTCATGGTGCCCCCATCCAGGGACACAGAACTGAATGAGGCCGTTGCAGCCGAGAGCTCTAGGCCATCCCTTCTTCACGCTGCTTTTGAGGGCTGGGCCCGTAGAAAGCCTAATACCATAGCGCTTGACTTCATACATTCTTTAGCATCTGCAGAAATACCCGCAGAACACAGCATTTTAACTTACGCCGCTCTTAATACTGCAGCCTCGAACTTGGCCATCCATATCAGGACTCTTTTGTCCGGTCACGATCACTCGGCCAATCATGGGCGCATAATCCCTGTATATATGTCGACGTCCCCTGAACTTTATATTTCCTATCTCGGTGTCCTGAAGGCTGGCTGTGCGTTTTCGCCGATCCCTCAAGATGCCCCCGCACAGCGAGTACAAGAGATCCTCCAAGACATTGGCTCTCCCATTATTCTAGGCAATACACCTGAGCCGTTCCCGATGCCGTGGACCACGGAAACTACAGATGCTAAAACAACCACTCACACATGGGTTGACGTCACGGAAGTGTCTAAGTGGAAAGAGCTACGAGGGGACCAGGTCCCCTCAACAGTTATGTCTGAGCCTCTTGACCAACCGGATATAGATGAAAACCAGACTGCTTATCTCCTGTTCACGAGTGGCTCTACTGGAAAACCCAAGGGCGTTCAAGTTAGCCATTTGGCGGTTACCTGCTCCATCGAGTCTCATGCTACAGCCATCCCGCTACCTGGAGACTCCGTCGGGGACTTCCGTTGGTTCCAGTTCGCGTCTCCCACATTTGATCCATCACTCATGGAAATCTTCGTGACATTGAGCAGTGGTGCTACTCTTTGCTCTGCCTATCGGAGTTTGACATTGACAGACTTGGAAGCAACTATCAATGAAGCAAAAGCAACTGTGATGATGGCCACCCCCAGCTTGGCTGCACTTCTGCGGCCTTCACGTCTGACAACTCTCCAATCTCTCTGGACCATGGGTGAAAAGCTGAATCGAACAGTCATCGAGAACTTTGCTTCCCAACCAAATACCAATGAGGTGAATGGCTCTTCAGGACCTTCAACCATACTGGTTAATGCATATGGTCCCACAGAAGGCGCGATTAACTGCACCTTCCTTGCCCCAGTCGACCGTTCCACTCGTGGTTCAATCATTGGTAAAGCCCTGCCCACGAGTGCAATGTTCATCCTCGATCCGAATACCCATGTCCCAAAGCCGATACCGTCTGGGCTTGCTGGGGAGCTGGCGCTAGGAGGGCCGCAGGTCAGCAAAGGCTATTTGAACCGCCCGGAAGAAACTGCGAAGTCCTTTGTACATAGCCCCGACTTCGGTTATGTCTACCGCACTGGTGATATGGCACGCATTGTTTGGGACGAGACAGGCTCCCAGGTTATTGAGTTCCTTGGCCGTATTACCTCTGATCAGGTAAAGCTCAGTGGTCGCCGCGTGGAACTTGGTGAGATAGAGTCTGTCATCTCCACTGTGAATGGTATTACCGAGGTTGTGGCCGTAGTGTCGAAGCGGGACATGAATGTGCAAGGCAGCGAACAGATCTTTGCGTGCCTAGTAGTGGATAATGCAACCGAAGTAGAAAAGCACGAGATTGTGCGAACCGCCCAAGAGTCGACACAATTGCATCTTGCATCATACATGTGCCCATCGGCGTACGCATTCTTTGACTCTCTACCTAGATCTAGCTCTGGGAAAGTCGACCGCAAAGCCATATCTGCCAAGCTCCAACAGGGTGGTGTGGACTTATTCTCTATCCAGAAACCCAAATCTGAGACGTCCGTTGATGCACAAGACAACTGGGAGGCTACAGATGAACACACACAACGGGTACAACAACTGGTGGTCAATCTTATTGCAGAAACATCCGACGAAGATGTCACCGCAATCAAGCCCGGATCAGATCTTTACTCGCTGGGCATTGACAGTCTCGGTGCGATGCGGCTCCTACAGAAGCTGCGAGACAATTTCATTGAAGGCTTATCTGTAGGGGATGTACTGCGAGCTGAAACACCTAAGACGCTGGTGTCAATGATTGCGAAGCCTCAGTCAACGGCCAATGGTATCGATTCGAACGGCGCTTCTCTAGCTGATAACTCCGCCGAGCTGCTGAGCCAACAGCTTGCGTCGTTCAGTACCAGAAACCAACCTGTATGTGCGGAGAGGCTCGGTCTAACCTCGGATCAGATCCAGAAAGTCTTACCGACCACGGCAACACAATCTGGTATGTTGACCAGCTTTCTGCGCAGCTCAGCTGATACGTCGTTCGAAACGCGCTCGTATATTTATCATTCCGTCCTTCCCCTTGAGGCTGCAGTCGACCTTGACCGTGTACGGAACGCGTGGGACGTTGTTACTGCGAATTATGACTCTTTCCGAACTGTCTTCTGCTGGCTCGACGACGACATGGCACCATTCGCACAGTGTATCCTGGCTGCTGATGCAGTACCAAAGCCAAAGTGGAATGTTTACAACGTCTCTAAGGGCAATTCAGAGAAGGAAACGCTAAACGAGGCTTTACGAGACGCAGAGGAAACTATTAGCTTGAGTACGCCTCCATGGAAGTTGTCTCTGATCACATCCCCTCAAAGAACACTCATAATCTTGAGCATGTTTCATGGAATCTTTGATGGTGGCTCATTGCAACTACTTCTTCAGGACGTGTCTTTGGTTTATGGCAATAAAGCTATGGCGAGCCGAACATCATTGGAGCATATTGTACAACATCACTTTGGCGCTGACCATACAGCAACATCTAAATTCTGGAACGAACATTTGGAGCACTACTCACCGATTTCTTTTCCTTCCGTCACGCCTTATCGGGCTCCCTCAGTGAAAGCGGCCGATTGCGTGGAAATCACCTCACACATCAGCTACGACCGGTTGAAAAGGCAGTCTAAAACCATCGGCGCAACCCCACTCTCAGTGCTACAGGCAGCTTGGGGCTCTGTCCTCTTGGCCTACACTGGGACCCCAGACCAAGATGTTGTGATGGGCAGCGTAGTTTCTGGGCGGTTGGATCCCGACTCAGAAATATGTATTGGCCCAACCTTTACCACTGTTCCTGTGCGACTCGCTCTGAACCTAATCCCACAGGATGCCACTGGCACTCGGACGAACAGATCTGTCGCCCGTTACCTGTCATCTTTAAATGCCAAGACATTATCTTATCTGCAACCGCGCTTGGGGTCCCTGGTCACAGGAGATGGTCGATTACCATATGACACGCTTGTGGCATATCAGGACTTCAGTGCTGGATCAAGCACCAGTGGGCTTTGGAGCTCAATAGACCACCCACCAATGGGGAATGACTTTGCTGTGATGATTGAAGTCTGGCCTGGAGCCAATTCATCTTTGACCTTCCGTGCCAGTTTCAATCATGCTCTGCTTGACTCTGAATCAGCTGAGGTCATGCTGAGACAAATGGTTGATATCGTTGCGTTCATACTTGAAACACCAGAAGGAAACTTTTTAGATTCCCCATCCCAGACCCAAGTCGAACTGAAGTCGATTTTCAATCCTACATCAATCATTGCTCCAGAGGTGTCAGAGGGCGCGCTAATCCATTCTCGATTTGAAGAACATGCAGAATCACATCCCGAAGACATCGCATTGATATTCAAGGGCGACTTGGATGACGACAGCAACCCATGTAATATATCATGGACCTATGGAGAGCTCAACGCCATAGCCGATGGTCTTGCTGAGAATCTGCTTCAGGTTACCGGTCCGCTGACAAACACCCCTGTTCCCATATGCATTGAGAAAAGCCCGGCCATGTATGTGGCTATTTTGGGAATTCTCAAAGCAGGCGGTGCCTGGTGTCCGATTGACACCCTTTCTCCTGCCCAGCGTCGCCATGACTTGATTGCGCGGACTGGCGCCAAAGTTCTTCTCGTGTCTAGTAACGATGGTGATCAACCCGAAGGGTCCATCCCAGCTGGGGTTGATATCATCGATGTTAGCCGATTCACCGTGAATACCTCTAAGTCAAACAGCATGGGAAGGCCCAGTACTAAGCAAAGAACAAGCCCAGATTGTATGGCATATCTCATCTGGACCAGTGGCACAACAGGCGCACCCAAGGGTGTTCCCATCAAACATTCTGCCGCGGTCTCTTGTATGAAATCTCTTAGCAAGGATATTCCTACAGACGTACAAGGTGGCGTCGTTCGCTGCATGCAGTTCTCACAGTATACCTTCGATGTGTCAATCCAAGACATCTTCTATGCCTGGAGTCTTGGAGGAGTTCTCATCTCCGCTACAAGAGAGATAATGTTGGGCTCTTTCTCTAAACTCGCGAACATCACCAAGGCTACTCATGCGCACCTCACTCCAGCATTTTCAGCAGGTGTTCCTAGGAAGAGCTGTGAAACGCTTGAAGTGATTACTATGATTGGTGAGAAGCTGACCCAGCCAGTCGCTGATGATTGGGGCACTGATATGCGCGCCTTCAACACATATGGGCCTGCCGAAGTAACCATTGTTTCCACAATCAGGGAGTTCGGAAATGAGCACAAGAACATCAAAAGCGCCAATATTGGCTGGCCCATGGATACTGTGTCTGTTTTCGTGACAAAGAATCAGCGAATGGTAATGAAAAATGCAGTTGGCGAGTTAGCATTGGGTGGACCCCAGCTTTCCCCTGGCTATCTGAATCAAGAGGACGTCACAAAAGCAAAGTACGTTTGGAACGAGGAAGCCTCACAGACACTCTATTACACCGGTGACTTGGTGCGCATGCTTGCTGATGGCTCTCTTGAGTATCTCAACCGTGTCGATGACCTGGTCAAGCTCGGTGGTATTAGAGTTGAGCTTAGCGAAATCAGTTTCTCCCTTGATGGCTGCCATCCTTGTGTTGAGAATATTGAAACACTCATCCTCAGTCGTTCCGATAGACCTACGAAGGTGGTTGTTGCCTTCCTTTCTGCACCTGAAGCTGCATCTGCCGATGATGACAAGTTGTTGATACTCAACAGTACGGCACTTGATATAGCTCGTGCTGCCAGTGACAAAGCCCACTCGGTCCTTCCTGATCATATGATCCCGTCTGTGTACTTGATTGTGAAAAACATTCCAAGAACACCATCTGCCAAGACTGACCGTCGGGCTCTGCAAGCCGCATATGAAGCTATTGACATCGACAGTTGGGAAGGCCAGCTGAACCCTGACAATACGGATTCTGCCAAAGAGGCAGAAAATGACGCAGACGCCACCGCAAGCTCAAATATAATCGATATGATCGCATCGCTGGCCAACATCTCGTCCTCAATCATTACCAAGGCCAGTAGACTTGGAAGTCTGGGTATAGATTCAATCCGCGCCATTCGCCTGGCCTCCAGGCTCAAAGAAGCTGGCTACCAACTGTCTGTTGTCGAAGTACTGAACTGTGTCACCGTACAAGATTTGGTGAGGTTAGCGTCTTCTAGCAAAGCTGCCACTGCCTCCTCAGATACATTTGACCTGGAGAAGTTCAATCTGACATGGCATGTGTTGGCTGCCAAGCAGATACACGAGGATTTCTTCACTGTACGCGCTACTACAATTCAGGAAAGTTTGCTCAGTGAGACAATGGGTACATACGACATGTACTGGAGCAATCATTTCTTCTCACTTGACCCCTCTGTGTCGCTTGACGGACTAAAGCAGGCTTGGCTTGCAGTTTGCCAAAAAACGGAAGCACTAAGGACTGGATACATTCCTGTGGCTGAGGTGGCTAGTACTTGTCATGATAATTTCGACTTTTCTATCCTGCAGCTCATTTACAACTTGCCTGCCTTGGATTGGGAAGTGCGCAACTGTACTGAAGATGATTGGGTAGCGCTGCGTGACCATCGAATTGAGACAATCATGAAAAAACACCAAACTACTTATTTCAGCTATCCACCGTGGGCTGTTACTGTGTTCGATAAGGGTAATGAAAGGGTCATGGTTCTTACAATACACCATTCTATCCACGATGGCCCTTCTCTTGGTCTAATCATGGATGATGTGCAATCTGCTTACATGCACAAGCCGCCCTTGAGACATCAGCTTAGCAGTGCGCTTTCCATCGTTCTTCCGAACGAAGTGAAGAGCGCAGAGACCTGCAACTTTTGGCAATCCGAGTTAGAGAGGTTTTCAGAGCTGGACACTCCAGTGTGGCCTGACCTTACTGGCAAAAAGGTAGATCCTGGAGTTGAACAAGAATTTAATCTCATCTCAGAGGAAGTTCCATTGACGGAGAAGGTTTCAGAGCTTCAATCAGCTGCGGCTCAACTCGGAGTGGCATCTATTGCCTCTATCATACGAGCAGCATGGGGCTATGTTTCACTTTGCTATCTTGGAATACCAGCAACCGTTTTTGCAGAAACTCTCTCCGACCGTGTGTTGCACCCTGATCTAGAGGATGCAATTGGCCCATTGATCTCTGTTGTCCCCATACCTTTCCACCCACAGGGAAGCGCGCGCGAATTTCTTGCAGAGCAACATCGGATCTCGGTACAATCTTGGAAGCATCGCCATATTCACGCTCGTGATGTGCGAAGGATGCTAAACCGGCCAAGAGGAGAGGCTTTATACCCAGCTGTTTTCAACTTCCATGTGGCAACTGAATCGAACGGCCCTTCTCAGTCCCAAATCTGGCAGGAGCTAGAAGACCAAATTGGCTTACACGTGGAGCACCCTATGGCCTTCAATGTTTTCCAACGTGCAGACGGCGCTATTGTCTTGGAGGCATCCTCGGATAGCCGCCTGATGAGCCGAGAGCAGCTGTCTCTTTTTGTCCGTCAGGTTGACGGCTTTGTCACTTCTATGTTGGCGTTTCCCGACAAACAATTAGCAGACCTCGTGCACCACCTTCCAACAGCCTTGAAGTCTATTTCCACTAGACCTGTTCCCGAGTCTGTTCGTGATTCGGTTCATACCAGTCCAACCTATTGGTTGGAGAAGAATGCGCGCGAGCACCCGGAATGGACAGCTGTTGAGGTCGCAAGTGACATAGCTCCTGAAGGAATTGTTAAGGAAGCGTGGACCTACGAGACGCTCAACACAAAGGCGAACCGTGTGGCAGCCTACATTGCCTCCCAAGGGCATAAGAACAGAATGATCGGCGTTTGCTGTGGGCGAAACCTTCCTTCATATCCAATAATCGTTGGCATCTTCAAGTCTGGAAATGGTTATCTTCCGATAGACGAGGGCCTTCCAGACGAACGTAAAGCATTCTTGACTGAGGATGCTGATTGTCCCATTGTTTTCACCGAGACCCAATTTTCGCAGTCATTCTCCCGAGTCCCTGAAGCATGTCGTGTCATTTGCGTCGACGACTTTGGTTTCCAGGAATTGGTGGAAACAATGCCCGCTGAGGACCGGGATTACCAGTCTCATCCAGACGATGTCGCCTATCTTCTTTTTACATCCGGTTCAACTGGTAAACCGAAAGGCGTCATGGTCACCCGGGGCAATCTTTCATCGTTTATCGAGTCATTCGGAGAGTTCTGCATCAAAGCAGCTCCTGGTACACTGACTCTAGGTGGCACTGGTAGGTATCTTGCACAAGCCAGTAGAGCCTTTGATCCTCATCTTCTAGAAATGTTCTTCCCGTGGCGCCAAGGAATGACAACGGCGACTGCTCCTAGAGCTATGATCTTGAATGACATCAAAACAACACTTTCAAAATGGGAGATAACACATGCAAGCTTCGTGCCGTCAATGGTGGATCAATCAGATACACGGCCAGAGGACTGTCCCAAGCTACAATATATGACGGTCGGCGGCGAGAAAATATCCAAGAAGGTATTGGATACATGGGCCGATTCTCACATTGCGCTTGTAAATGCATATGGTCCGACTGAGGTGACAATTGGCTGTACTTTCGCTCATGTTAGGAGGCAGACAAACATGCGGAACATTGGACCACCGTTGAGTGCTTGTGCCTGCCATGTCATGATTCCCGGTACAGATACCTATGCCCTCCGAGGTCAAACTGGAGAGCTGGTCTTTAGTGGCGATCTTGTTGGAAAAGGATACCTTAACAGACCCGATGCCACTGGATTTGTGACGGGGCCTAATGGAGAGAGAATGTACCGAACTGGTGATATAGGCCGTCTGATGCCAGACGATTCAGTGGAGTATCTGGGCCGTGGTGACGATCAAACCAAAATCAGGGGCCAAAGGTTGGAGCTCGGAGAGGTGTCCGAAGTGCTGCGCTCATCTTCGGCCGTTCCCATTACTGTTGTCACAACAGTTGTCAAACATCCAGGTCTCGCCAGAGCGCAGCTTATATCTTTCATCACACGGTCGGATGCTCGTCGCCACCAGCCGGATGAGAGCGTGGCCTTTGTCCAGTCTGATTTCGCAACATTGGGCAAGGAACTCCAGGATATCCTCAAAAAGAAGCTGCCAGCATATATGGTTCCTGAGCTTATCCTACCCATAACGTATATCCCGAAGGCACCGATGTCTGGGAAAGCGAACCTCAAGGAACTGCATGCTCTGTTCACAAACTTACCACTTGCGGCTGTTCTCCAGGGAAACAATGCGATCAATAAAGATGGCAGCGCCGTCAGTCGACCCCTGACTGCTGATGAGGAGGCTGTTGTGGAGGAGGTCTGTACCGTTATATCTACAGACCGTTCCAACATTGGTCCAATGACAAATATCTTTGAGGTTGGCCTAGACAGTCTGAGCGCCATAGGCCTCTCTATCAAACTCAGAAAGATTGGATACCAAGCGACAGTCGCTCTTGTCATGAGCAACCCAGTTATTGAACAACTTGCCCGTCTTCCAAGAAACGCCTCGCCGTCAAATGGACAAGATTCGTTGTCGAATACACGCCAAAGGCTTCTTGACATAGAATCTCAGTACAGAAAAAGCTCCCCTGCTGGAGTCGACCTGTCTCGAGTTGCTTCTGTGCGTCCTTGTCTGCCCCTCCAAGAAGGCTTGGTAGCCCGCTCCATCAATAGCGATGGGGACCAACTCTATGTTAATCATGTTATTCTTCAACTTGGAAAGATCGATGTAGCGCAGTTGATGTCAGCATGGCAAACAGTGGTCAATGACAATGACATCTTGAGAACTGCTTTTGCTTCGTTGGACAAGGAAATGGTCCAGGTAGTCTTCTCTCCTGACTCCAGCCAGCTTCGCTGGACCGAAAAAGAATATCGCACCCTTGAAGAATCGATCGAGAGGTCCAAACTACAACAGGAGGGAGTCACTCAAGACATCATTTCGAACATCTCCAGCACACCTCCTGTGCGCTTCCATCTTGCAAAGAGCTCTGAAACCAAGGAACCACTCGCTCTCTTCATCTCCATCCACCACGCTCTCTACGATGGCGAGTCTTTCTCAATGTTGATGGATGATGTTACTTCTCATTATACAGAGCACCCAGTTCCAGAGAGAGGTTTACCGTTGACGTTCATTGAACATGTTTATGGTCAAGACTTAGAGAAGGCAAAGAAGCACTGGACTGAGTATCTGTCCGGTTGCCACCCGACAATTTTCTGCGAAGATCCTAGTGTCATGGAACTTCCAACTTCTGCGCACAAGCAACTTGGTAGCAAATTGTCAGCCTTGGAGCGCCGATCAGCGAGTCTCCAAACAACGGTCCCATCCTTGATACAGGCTATATTTGCACTTCTGTTGGCCGATACAGTAGGCGCCTCAGATGTAACATATGGACTTGTGCTCTCTGGTCGCGCTTTATCTGTGCCTGGAGCAGACTCAGTCCTACTTCCCTGCATCACTACAATTCCCAGTCGTCTTGATACGGACGGTATGGACACTGTTACTGACGTAATCGAGGCTGTCCAAAGATCGACTGTCAGGTCGCTTGATTACCAGCATACTTCCCTGAGACATATACAGCGCTGGATAAACTCCCAAACTCCTCTCTTTGATTGCCTCTTCTCCTACATCAGGGCTACTGAGCCAGAAAGACATAGTCTCTGGAAGGAGCTTGACAGCCACATGCCTGCTGAATATCCACTTGCAGTTGAAGTCGAGGCGAACCATGCTACTGACACGGTCAATCTACACTGCCTCTTTTCCCCATTGTTTGGCACTCTATATAATGGAGAGGAGTTCCTCGAAAAGATGGATGCTGTACTCGCAAGTGTCGCGTCAGGCGAAAGTGTCTCTTTGGATAGTTTCAATCTTCCTCGAGTGGAAGATTCTGGGCCACGTTCATCTGCTATTAAATGGGATGAGACCACATGGTCCAATACAGAAACTGCGATTCAAGGTCTTGTTGCTGCTTTCTGTGGCTTGAGTTTGGCAGATGTCACCAAGGGAGCCTCCTTCTTGAGTCTAGGAATTGACTCTGTTACAGCCATCCAATTCGCACGCAAGCTGCGTGAGTCAGGCCTCAATGCTTCCTCGTCTGATGTCATGCGCTTCTCTTGTGTTGGTGCATTAGCTAGACACATTGAGCAATCTTCTCTCCCTCAGCCCACAACGAACGGCGAACAGGTTAACGGAACAACGCATATTCCTCTTGATGTTTACCAGAAGCATGTCCGTCTCTTAGGTGATAATGATTCCGTCGAATCCATGTTTGAATGTACACCTCTACAAGCAGGCATGATCACACAAACACTAGCCTCTTCCGGGCAGGTCTATGTTAATCCTCATCCTATCCGCCTCAACGACTCTGTGGATACTAACAGATTACGGGATGCGGTTCAAGAAATAATCAAGAGAAACAATATCCTGCGTACTTCATTCCATCTGATAGGGGAGCTTAGCTCTTCTTGGATCGGTGCTGTACATGCACAGCCCCCTCTTGAATGGCAAGAGCTGACTTTACCATCTGACTGTGACGTTCTTTCTAAGGTCAACGCACTCTTCTCCTTTGGAGAAGAGTCCTCCTTTGAGGTTCCCCCAATCCGCTCTGTTCTAGTTAACCAGCCTGATGGAAGACTTTTGATCGTCGTCATGCACCATTCTCTATACGACGGTGCTTCCCTGCCATTCTTCTTCGAGGACCTCGCCATTACATACAATGGTGAGCGTCCGTCAGAGAGACCACAGTTCTCAGAAACAGTCAGGCATGTATTGAACGGACAAGATGAGGCCTGCGACTTTTGGGGCCGTAAGCTACAGGATTATGAAGCTGTCGAGCTTCCTCAGCTGCCGTCTTCTGAATCTTTGGATCGCATGTTCCTCTCAGACAGTCGTGTTGATCTTGACCTGCCGGTTATTATTGACGCCTGCAAAAGGATGGAGGTCACTGTACAAAGCGTGGCTATCTTAGCATACGCCAAGGCCCTTGCACGCCTTATTGGGAAACGTGACATCGCATTTGGACAAGTTCTTGCAGGCCGGTCAGTGCCAGGAACCGAACGTACTTTTGGCCCGCTGTTCAACACTGTAGCTCAAAGAGTGACCTTTGAGCCAAAATTCCTGAGCAATAGGGCTATGGCATTGCGGCTGCAACAACTCACAACTGAAGCACAAGAATATCAGCACGCGCCTCTGAGAGTTGTACAAAACTCTCTGAGAAAGGCTAATACGCTGAAGGCCACTTCGCTCTTCGATACACTCTTCGTCTTCCAGAAGAGCGCAGACTTTGCTGGCAGCATACTTGAGGAGCAACAGATTTGGAAGCCGTACGAAACAGACGACTATGCTGCTCAAGCCGAGTATAAGCTGAACGTGGAAGTTGACCATGGGCAAAAGGGAATTGCAGTCAATGCCAACTGCAACGGGCAATATATGTCACAAATGGCTCTCGATAGCTTCATCAACGATTTCACAACAGCCTTCAAAGATATCATCCAGCACCCAACCAGGTGCGTCACAGTCGTACCTGAGCATCTTGGAGAACTGCCTCTCAGACTGTCCTTGGAAACTTCTGAAGAAAACCTGGTAGAAGCCTCCAGTGCGCCTCCGCACGAAGCCACCGTTAAATCTGTGCTAGCAGATGTTTCTGGTGTGCCAGTCGACAGCATTAACGCCAGTACTAGCATCTTCAGTATTGGGTTAGACTCCTTGTCGGCAATTCGCATTGCTTCTGTCTGTCGATCGAAGGGGCTGAAGGCGGGTGTAGCCGATATTCTCCAAGGCAACACTCTTCGTGGAATCAGTCAACGTATCCGGCCTATAACAGAACAGGCAGTCAAGCCCCAAGGTGCCATTATCAAGGACTACGATCAAGTTGAGAACACAGTTTTGAAACAGCTGGGCTTGAATAAGGATTCTATTGAAACCATTCTTCCATGTCTCGGTGGTCAGTACTATCACCTCGTGAGCTGGTTGAAGTCTGGACGGAAGCTGTTCGAACCGGCCTGGCCATACTTTACTACGGAACGCATCAATGCCGAAATGCTTGAAGAAGCATGGTATCAACTTCGTCAAAGGCATCCAATGCTAAGAACTTGCTTCGCAGCTATTTCTTCTTCCGAAGCTGTCCAGGTCGTCATGAAGCACGCTGTGCGTGATGGTGAAACTTTCAAGGTCATTGAGTCCTCTGATTCCATAGAAGAGGCTGCAAAGGCACAGTCAAAGGCAGAGGCTTTAAAGCCTTCTTCGCTCTTTGTTCCCCCTGTACGACTACGCCTCATAAAGGCCAGCGACAAAGACGGAATCCTTGTCCTAGTCAACCACGCTGCATACGATGCATGGACAATGCCACTGTTCGTTTCAGAGCTTGGAAAGCTCTACCACGGTCAGCCATTGGACTCAGACCCTGACTTCCCTTCCTTTGTCGACTACTCAGTTCGTTCTCTCCGTGAAGTTGATGAGAAAGCATACTGGACCTCAGCCCTCGGCTCAGGTACGCGCACCGTCATCAACTCTAAGCAGGAAGCCGGCCAAGTCCCAGATCAACTATTCATCGGAGCTTGGGAAAAAGTCAAGAACGTATCCCATATGGAAAACACATGCCGCTCCGTCGGCCTGAGTCTCCAAGCCGTGGTCCTTCTGGCTGTTGCTCGCACCCTTGCGCGGGCAACAGGATCAACAAGCCCAACCATGGGTCTATACCAAACCGGTCGCTCTGCCTCATTCCCCAACATTGAAAAGCTCTCCGGTCCTTGTCTAAACGTCAACCCATTCACTATCTCCGACGTCATCTCTGACGGCTCGGAGCCCCACCTCCTGGACAAAGCCCGCGCGGTTCAATCTTCCCTTGCAGAACGCGTCTCATTCGAGCAAAGCTCACTGCAGGACGTCCTCCGCTGGGTTGATGCTCAACAATCTGGATCGCCATGGTTCAATACCTGGGTCAACCTCCTCTGGATGCAGGGTTCCATTCCATCAGGTAATGATGCCTCGCCAGATGCAGACGTCAACGACAAGGCCGAGGTCTTCTTGCCTCTTCGCATCGGTGTCCCCACGGACTTTATTCCCGATGAGCCTCTGCCTGGTCTGGAGGCGACCTCCGTGTCTGCCTTAGATACTTCTCTTCTGCCAGATGAGAACGTATACATCGATATCGGTCCTGACCCGAAGACTGATACCATTGGATTCGGTGTTCGTGTCGAAGGAGGTTGTCTTTCTGAGGAGGAAGTCAATAAACTTGTGTCTGATATCGGGGCTGAGATTGAAGGGATCGTTTCGTCGTTGCATTGATACAGAGCGACCAAGAAAAAAAAAAAAAACTTAAAAAAAAAAAAAAAAGGAAAGAAAGAAAGATAGAAAGAAAGAAAAAAGAAAAAACAAGTTGGTATGAGGCAGGATTCCTCGTTTTGGATACGTTTGCATATTTTTGGCTACATCATAGACATTTTTTGCTATATGTGCATTGCTAGATTTTGATTTCTGTTCATTTCATGTTTGTCGATCGTTTGTATATACTCAATTATTTTGACGGTTCAATCTATTTTTCGTTCAAAAATTTGGATCCTTTTCAATACAAATAAATAAAGTAGGTGTATATTAGTTCGCTGTTCATATATTCATTCCAGCACATGCAGATTCTATGCACGGTATGTGGCTAAAATGCCGTCATAAAGGGTGGATATACATACATACATCGTGAGGCCAAGGGCTATCCACAAATACGGCTATATACATATAAGTCATCATCCTTTATTCAATTCTATCCGTAAGTTTAGTTTCCTTTCGTATCCGAGCGAGGAACATCTTTCATCGCCTCCTGCACCAACCACACCGTGACATCTTGGATATCTGTGCCGACTCGCCAGCTACCCAGAACCACGCCCTTGTCAGTTAGGATGTCGTGGGCTCTTTCCCAGCGTCTCCGCCAGAGCTCTTCGCGCTTGTTGGGCAATGGCGCGGGAGGCGCAGATCCGGCAACTGATTGTTGGTCGCTGTCTAGACTGTTTGTACTTGATCTGGCCGGTGAGGGGTTGGTGGCTGTAGATCGGAGGAGGTTGGAAGGAGATGGAAGATACTCTGAGGCGTACTGTAGAGCGGCTGCGGGGTATGATTGTGGTTGTTTTTGGGATGGTTGGCGGCTTGAGCTTGAGTTCGAGGTTGCTGTTGAGGATGTTGCTCCCGTGTTGCTTCGGCGGGGTGGGGGTGGCGGAGGGGGTTGTTTGGACCGCGCGAGTTCTTGGGGTTCGATTGGATCTGTTTCGTTGAATGTTTTGGAGCGGATTGGTAGTGGGTTTGGTGGAGTTGGGGCTTCTGAAGGACGACGCGGCGGTACGGGTGGGATTGGCTTCCGTTTGATGGCCTCCTGCATCTGGGATGAACTGCCCTTTCCTGGCTGGTCTGACATGGCGGAAACGGTACGTAGGGATGATGGCTTGGATGGTTTCGCTGGTGGTAGGCGTCCGTTCGGTGGCTTGGACGTGTCAGCCTGGGTATCTTTCAAATCGTCATCGTCGCGGAGGTCGATCAGATCGGCATTATCTAGGCTTATGGCATCAGCAGATCGATGATCTGGTGCTCGAGGGCGGCGAGGAGGTAATGTAGGCCGATTAGTTGCCATATCGCTGGTATCGATCAGCTGGGGAGTGCTGCGAGTGCGAGATGGATGAGGCTCCAGGTGGTCGATGGACTTCTCAAAGAACTGCTTTTGATCTGATGTGGTGACGTCGCGGATAAAGATTCCCAGGATCCTTCCAGGATTGGCCAGGGCAACGTCGGTGTAAACTTCGAGGTCTGCCTCGCCGCTGTCACCGACTAGAATGAATCTGCGTGTCGGGAAGTCCCGAAGTAGTTGTTCAAGGGAGCCCTTCTTTCGTTCTGCAGTGGGTTCGAATATCCCTTGAAGCATGCCGCTGTATTGTTTAAGGTGAAAGGAACCAGGAGGCAATCCTGCCAGTTTAAAGTAGCGCTCTAACAACGGATAAAGCTGCCATGGTGAATTGGAGACGTAGTGTATCTGAACCCCCATTTTAACTAAACTAGTATACCACTCCGAGACTCCGTCGACAGTTAGATCGGCTAGTTCACGAATAAAAGTATTCCGAAATATTTCTTTGGCTCCACTTGCGATAGCTGAATGTTTCACTGTGTCGTCTATATCACTGATGAGGCTGACACCGCTCGGTTCGATGACCTCGACCTGTTTCATAGCAGAGAGTTCCTCCGAGGCTAGGACACGGATATGAGTCGGGATAAACGGCAGCGCTGCACGTAAAGTAAAGTGGCCTGACTCGTCAGTCAATACGCTTCTCGACTGGCTCTTCCCATCATTGAAAAAGAACACAGTGACAGGCTGCTGGTTCATGGGATTCGACAAGAAAGGGCGGAGTCTCTCCATAAGGTGAGCATTTGCCACAGACAGCTCATCCATGCTCATTTGAGAAGGTTCGAGCGTCAATGATGTGGTCGTTCTATGTAGAGGTCGTCCAGGGATAGCTTCGCCATCTCGTTCCGAGGCACTAGATTTCCAAGCAGCATCCGCCCTTCCTTCTGCATTTCTGATGATCGATTGCGCCTCCGCATCCACAAGCTCATCATCCCTTTTACCCGATGCCTTTCCTATAGAAGCGGTGTCGGAATCGGGGCCTTCAGTATCAGTCGAATAATTACTCGGCGCCGGTACACCGCTTAGTTTCCTCGCAAGTGCAATCAACAAGCGCTGCTTTCGATTCATCGGCCCGCGATGAGGTGAGTACACCCAGCCTCGCACATCAACCGCGACGATCGCATTTTCATCCTCCAATATCTCTCTTTCAAGTTTCTCCAGCTCCGTCTCCTCGGCCACACCGCGGTATTCATCGAGCGTCGAAGTCGATCCCCGACGCTGTCTGTTGTGGTCTTTGACAAGTCGCCTTGCGTAACTCGGGAAAATCACCATTTCCTCATCTTCGGACCGTGCGATTTCAATATCTGGAAATGCCCCCGGCGTGTTCTTCAAATACTCTTCATCGTATCCACGGGATGGATTTATCTGCGCCGACCATTGCGCGGCGTACGTCTGACGTAGTTCGTTCGCCGCCCTCAGGTACTGGTAGACCTTCTGGCGACGTCCGCCACTAGCACCGCCCCCTGAGCCCCATGAGGATGTCGACGATAAGAACTGTGACATTGGCACTCCTTCTGTCGCACTCGCCGACTTCCCACCACCAGTGTCCAATCTTCTCAACCGCCGTCGTCGCCCGACAAGGAAATCTAACACTCTCCGTCTACCAGTCTGTCGTTTCTGGAGAAGCCTGGCTTGCCGTCGAAGAATCACGCGGTATAGGCCTGCCTGGGCTCTATGGCGAAGGGCAGGGATTGTCTCGTGGCGGAAACCCCAGAGACGAGCTTGGGCACGACGGCTCGTGGTAGGCCCGAAGAGCGCACGAAGGAATCGAAAGACCTTTCCTTGTCTAGCTCCACGGTCCTGAGCGGTGAAACGAGGGAGGGGCAAAGATCGTGAGGGCAGTTGGCGCCTAGCGGGGAAGCTCGGCGGAGCGCGCCAGCGACTGCGAGGAAATATTTTCGGCGCCACGGTCTTGAGCGAAGGTAATGCGATAAAGATATGTAAATACCTCAGGAGAGCTGCAGGGTTTCCAGTCGGCGTTCAGTCGAAGGGGGTCGCGTAAGGCTGAACTTATGTGCTGTCCGGGCAAGGAGTTGAAGTCATCTCGGCCCACAAGGCGTTTTAGCGTAGTGATGTCAGGGTACCACCTTACTAGTGACCGAGTCCTCAACCGACAGTGAGCGAGATATAACAATAAATATGTAACCCTTTGTCAACACGGATGGCAAGCAAAGAGGCTATGAGGACCAAAAAGGGGTGGAAACATTCGATTAAGCTTGAGTTTCAAAAGCCGGCGGAAAGGATGTGGAGACCGTTCCAATGCCATAATTGCATCGTACCTTGCCTTAGTCAAAGGTTCTCGGGCTGCTAGATATTATGTGCAATCGATGTTATTGTGTACTCCAAGATTAAATTACTATATAAGATCTATATTCGTGTGCGCGCTATAGAGAAAAAAGAATACATAGGGCTAGAGTCGGAGCGCTTTTGACTTCAATGTCTTGGCCATCCAAGGGATCCCAAGTATAGTATTGATCCATAACCAAATAGCGTCAGAAGGAAGTACGGTTTGAACAAAGTATGATCACAGAGATTCGCCGTCTTCAGCGTAACTGACTGGCTTCACTCGACGGCTTCGACGGAGCCCAGTGCTCCTAGTTCGCGTGAGCTTGGGAGGATCCGGCAAAGCATCATTATCTGAAGCAGAAGTCGACGTGCTAGCTGGCGTAGAAGCTTTGCGTTTTCTACTAGCTACCTTCTTTGCGCTAGAGGTACGCTGAGAGGGTTTGGACGCGGGCGTCGAGGCAGGTGTAGTCAAGACAGTACTGGCCACTTCACCATCTTGCTCCAACGATCCCTCTACGCCACCATCGACCTTCTTCGTCTGCCGAGATCGTCGGGGGCTCTGGACGGTTTTAGTACGGATGAGTTTTTTAGGCCGAAGCCATTCCTCCATTGTAGGCGGCCAATAAACCCTTCTCTCCGGACCTCCCATGCCAACCACTTCCTCAGGGATAGTTGGTGCAGGAGGAACATGTCCCTCGAGGTCAACAAACCCCCCGTTCTTTTTGGTAGACTTTCGCGGCGGCTTGAACGGTTTGTTCTCGTCAGTTCGAACATGTGGAATCATGTCATTGAACAAATCGTGACCGGGAAGCTTGAAGGTTCTCATCAGTTCAAACACAGCCTGTTCTTTATCTTTTGCCTCAATCATCAAATCCATCGTGGGGTCGCATGGGGGCAAGGTGGACACGCGATCGCTATGCTTCCGCCGCTGACGATTCGTGATGGCAGAAGGTGTCGGTTCCGAATAGTGCATCTTCTGGGTGATTCCCTTCCTAGTCCAAGTAGCCTTAATTCTATCAAAGAGCCCTATAATGTCCTCAGTCCCTTCACGCACTTGGCTCGAGTCGAAAATGATGTTGTGGTGGTGGAAGTCTAGCACGAGCGGTATATTCAACTCTTCGCATATAGGCAACAGATCATGTACAGACCAGCTAACATCATCATTTTCTAAAACGAGTCGATTCTTGATATCTTGCGAGAGGGGTTGGTAATTCTCCCGGAACCGGTTCAAAGTGGCTTCTTTATCACCAAACACACCACCCATGTGGAGAATCATGACCGCATCCCTATCTTGTTGGGGAGGCAGCTGAAGCAGCTGCAGCATTTCAGAGTGATACTCGAGATCTCGTATCGAACTCTCCACGACCTCGTTTCTAGGAGACCCTAGCTGAGTGAATTGGCCGGGATGCACGCTCACCCTATGACCAAGCTCGGCAATAACCCGTCCGGCTTCTGCGAGAACTTCGGACGCAAAAGGAGCTAATCTGTATCCAAACTCCTTGTGGCTGGCAAATGGAAACATCTCGCTACTCAGTCGCATGAACTTGATTCCATAGCGGTCATTCCAGCGCAGGATCTTTACAAGATCCCGGGCATTGGCGAGTCCCAGTGCTTCAACGAATGCTTGGCCCCGTGCGATATCAGGTGTCTGGCTCCGGTCCGGGCGGTTCTTCGTCGGATGGGCAGGCTGAGAGGGGTCTAAAAGCGGGTGGCGATTTTCTAAAATAGAGGCGATGCGACAAGTGCGGGAGCAGAAGACAGGAGGGTTTGAGTATCGTAAATATGTATTTAGGCATGCCTACTCACCGTAAGAAATAAAGTCATACGGGAGGGAGACAAAAAAATGCAAAGTTGATTAGTGGTTGTCACTCACATATCCCAATCTGCCCTTCCAGGGGAGAGGCAGATAACTACTGTTAACAGGAGGGGGCCTCGATAGAGCCTCCTGGAGCTCCTCGGCCTGAACAGGCACATCCTCATCCGATTCGGGATCTGGAGGAACGTCTTCCGGTAATTCTGATGGACGCGCCTGGGCTTTGACAGCATTTTCCTCACTCGGCGAGTTCACGCTGTCCCCACTCTCAAGTTTCATGTCTACAGGCATGTTCGCGACCTGTGATATCCCCACCATGCCACGCGGACCTCCTACTAGGCGCCGGGAATGCAAGGGCGGAGTGAGTGGTGTCGTTGCAAGCTTCAGTGATCTCCGAGGGAAAGAATGCAACAGGTGGTGAACGCGAGATTCGTAATGAGAGCGACAGGAGGTATGGAGGGGAGCAAGAAAGGAGATTGAGCTTGCCACAGGAGCCGGGTAAGTTATCCACCAAGCGGGAGAGTGGCGAACGCGGCGGGAGCGCGCACCAAATTCCTCGACGTCATGGAAACGCGCGGCATGATGACAGGAAAGCGCACGGCCAAAAGTCCTCTGCTGGTGGTAGAGAGGCCGCAAAAACATCCAGCAACGCGCTATGTATTATATGGGAAAAGACAGTAAAGTGAGAGGTCTCTGGCGCGGCGTTGGGACCATTATCCTCCAGAAAGCAGGCAGGAATGAATAGCGAGGGTATGGCGGATGGTAGAATGTAGGGAGCGGGAAGAGCTTCAAGCGGAGAGAAGAGACGCGGTGGAGCGGACGCTAAGGAGCTTTAGGAAGGTCCTCGGCGGGTTTCGTATGGGAAGCACTACCGCTGACCAAACTCCCGCCCTGACAACAGCTTATTCTCTACATTACAATAGGGATGGATATTCATCGCGTCTCGTTATATACGATTCTAGCCACAGTGACTCTCTTTGACTAGTGATGCGTGATCGGAAGTCGAGACTCTCAGTATTCTACTGTACACCCACAAATTTGACAAATCTATATGCGGCAATGCCCGCCATGAGACCATTACGTACCGTACGGGATTGAAGGCGCAAGAAGACATCCAGGTTTCGGTGCGTCAAAAACTAAAAGTGTCCCGAAGAATGGCCTGCCCTTGTTTTGGCATTTTCGTGGGACAACAACATTCCAGGCGGCGCTGAGCATACCTACGTTAGCCACTTAGAGCCAAGGGCAGAGGGACAGGAGCATGCCAGAGCTCCAGATCTTGAATATGTTGAACATCTGGTTGGATCATACTGCTTGCGCGTTCCTGAGCTTCTCTCCTTTGAGCCAGGCTGAGGGTTTTTGTGGATTTTTGTTTATTCCTCCCCCTTACCAGAAGAAAGAAAACATCTTGTCCGCTATAAGGAGTGCCAGTCATCGCCATCCGGGGAGATACATCTTCATCTTTCTAGACTCTCCGGTTCTGCTTATAAGTGCTGTTATCTCTTGACTGGGTACGTGCAAGCAGTCTTGGTTCAAAATCAAATCTAACAAGTTACCTCCAGTGTTCACGGTTGGGCAAGCGGTTGCATATATCTCAGGCATAGACCATCCTAGTACCAGAACATCCACAATGAAGGGCCTTGCTTTTGTGTGCGGCCTCCTGGCTACATCTGTGTCTGCACACATGCAGCTGTCAAAACCATATCCCATCCGAAGCCCGTTGAACAAGGACGCAACTGGCGAGAAGGATTATTCGTACACAAATCCGCTTTCTACCAGTGGTTCGGACTACCCGTGCAAAGGATACGCCAATGACCCATTCACCTCTGTCGCCACATACAGTCCAGGCCAGGAGTACGAGATTGAATTGGAAGGTAGCGCGACACACGGTGGCGGCTCCTGTCAGATCGGTCTCTCGTACGACAAAGGAAAGACTTTCCGTGTGATTCACTCCATGCTGGGAGGGTGTCCAATTGCAAAGAAATACAAGTTCACAGTTCCCACTGATGCACCAAATGGAGAGGCCTTGTTGTCCTGGACGTGGTTCAACAAGGTCGGTAACCGCGAGATGTACATGAACTGTGCACAGGTCACAATTGGTGGTTCCGCGAAACGTGCAATCTCGCGTCGTGACAGCTTCGACAGTCTCCCAGAGATCTTCCAGGCCAACAATGCTGGCCCTGGCCAATGCACCACCATCGAGGGTGAGGAAGTGAACTTCCCACTACCGGGACCCTCGACAGAGGGAAGTCTTTCCGGCAAGGGCTACACTTGCAAGAGTTCCGCTTCTTTCCTAGGTACTTCCAACTCAGCCAACGCTGCTATTAGCTCTGCTGCCCACGGCCCCAAGAGCTCCGCTCACATTTTTGGCTCTGCTTCTCCGTCTGCAACGCCCAGTAACAGGGTCGCTTCCGCCTTTGGCACTTCATCCTCCGCCCATGTCGCTTTTGCCACGCCATCCCCCTCGCAGCCAGCACGTGTCGAATCGCACCCTCTCAAGCACCACGAGCCTAGCCAGGAAGACTGTAAAGATGGTACCATTATCTGCGGCGAGGACGGTCAAACCTGGTCTATGTGCAGCTTCGGTCGCCCCACCTTCATGGGACCTGTTGCCGCTGGGACGCGCTGCCGCCACGGCGCCATGCACCGCGTGTGGTGAACATGAACTTGAACGCCTATTCGCACCTTCTAAGTGCGTATTCCTCGATCAAGCTCGCCTGGCGCGAGTATACAGCATCTTCATATCCATTGTCGAGGTAGTTCTTCACTGTTTCCATTTTTAGTTTGGACCAAGGGCCTATTTTATTTTGCAACTGTTCTGTCTTCTATTCTCATTAGCCCACGTCCTGTGATTTTGTAATTTTCTCGTGATGTGCTCTGTATTGAATTCACTTTTTTGATTTCTGCAATTGGTTTATGATACGTGGCTTCACCGGGGATGTGGTGAACATTTCATATTCCTAATATATAATTTCAAGTGTGCTTGAATGATTAGCTTTCTTGGTAAACCTATTCATAATGTTCACAAACCCCGAGGGGCAGTTATATATCTACATACCGCGCAAGAGAAGCAATGAGAAATTCAAATTTCATTGAAAACCGGCAATTGTTGCCTACACTATGGAGATCCAGAGCTACACAGCATGGGACATAACTCCAGTTTATGCTTACCCTGCATGCCCAGACCCTCCTTCGCTTCAATTACACTCACCATTCCCACCCCCAGATGATATAATCCATCCTCTTTTACACCTCCTCGTACAACTTAGTACCTGCAAAGGCCTCCCATCCACCAATCAACTTTGCTTCATATGATCCAACACCGAGGCTTCCGTCATGGTATTCCATAAACCCTTCACCGACACAAAATCCCTTCCCCAGATATAATGATCGGATAAGTTCTCTTTCACTTTTCAAATCTATATTAGTACCAGTCTAACCTCGAAGCAATAATATAACCATCCAGGGTGCAATCATCGATTCTGACCACTAGTATAGATTTATCATAACAGTGACATGTTTACTTGCAGTAGCTCGCCGCCTCGTGTACCGTCTGATGGTTTCCTGTTCAGCAACACTTGATTCTCACTAAAATTTCAATGCTGATAGAAGTCCCTACATATATGGGCGAGAAACCTCAGCATCGGTGGAGGGTTGCCCGATCCGTGCGATCGCGTAACTTTGTCCTTTTCATTACTTGGAGCGTTTGAGGATGCAGACTAGTCAACTGTGATCACAGACCTTAGCTTGGTTTGGGTATGAAATGTTTTCAGATTCAAATTGCTCAATTGTATCGTAGTTTATGGAGCGCCAGTTGGTAAAGTTCAATGGGGAGCGAAAAGAATATATATATTTCGGAAGAGTCAATATTGCGTGTCCTTGTACCCTTTGAGGAACTCGCACGTAATGGATCAACGTTCGATTACAGTATACGACATGATTAAATCGATCCTAGATTAGAGTCCAGTCTCGGTATATTCGCACGCTCATATAAAGAACCTCGGTGCATTCTAGAGCTTCTATCGAACGGATGGCATAATCCCGAGAGTTGCCATGCCTGAAAGCGGCACAAATACGAAAACCGAGGAATGTGCGGAGGAAAGACAACAAGCATCGCCTTCAATGTTACAACTACAATTGCTTTGTATTATTTTTATGATGCTCTCAACGGAATTTGTACTGAAGCAGAGTTGGTACTCATAAATTAGGTAATAATTTGATTTCATTAAACACTGAGCCAATTCCATATCGTCCAATGCAGAACTGTACAGGAAAGTACCACCCCACATAAATCCAAAAAGACCATGGTATCTTATTTGCAATCATTATTCATAGACGTTGTTACCTTCCTAGCCCAATTAGATGATAAAGTCATTGCCCAGTTTCTCCCGAGCGGATATAGACCGCGCGATTAGGTCCAACAACTCCAAAGTTTGTTGGTTTCAGTTATAGTGTATCTCATTTTATTTGTTTGTTTTTGTTTTGTTTTGCACACCATGTTTGTGTTCTCTCGAACGATTCCATGGTATTCACATTTCGAAAGTGGTATGGAATGTAGTCGTCTTAGTAGTTGCCCGTATAGGCAGAGTTTCCGTAGCCATAGCCGTTCTGTGGCACATTCGGGGTGGTCTGAGTGGTATCTTTGTTTCGAGAGAAGAAGCTACCAAAACCACTGGGCTTCTCCTGGGTAGGTCCTAATTCAACATCCTGAGGAGTAGGATGGGTTGGGAGCATATCGTCGGCGCTGGCGGTATCCGGGTTGTTCTTCTTGCGACGCCAGAAAGCACGAGGACGAGTACCATACGTGTAATCGTTGGCCGGGGAAGGTCCGAAGCGCTTCTCACGCTTGTGGTGACGGGCATAGAGGACTTGGAAGAGAATGGAAACCAAGAAGAAAAAGCTGGTGGGGAATGTCAGCGCATGACTCCTGATTGACACCTTGCCTGGCGCAGCTCAAGGGGTGCAGGATGGAATATTACTCACATTCCGATGATCGCGACGGCGAATGTGACTTTTTGGAGTTGACAGGCAAACTCGTATTTCACTTTAGATGGCGATTCTGCGTTGCTTTCCCCTGATCCTAAAGGAGTATCGACTCGGCCGCTGCATTGCTGTGTGCCATTGCGAGTCATGATCGCAATAGCGATCATGGCTCCCACAAAGCAGATATCGAGAACAACGGCCACAGCGGCGAAAAATGCGACTCCTCCCAAACAGCAGCTGAAGAGGATGCCTAATAGTCCGTAAAGGGTCGCCGCACCCGACAGACCCTCAGTAGCTTTCATCCACTGAGGGATGCTCTGGTCATGGCGGCTGAGGACAGCTAAAAAGTAGGAGAAAATTCCTAGAATTACCGCGCCGTCAAGAAATTGAAGGACACGAATAGCCAGGTTGAAGAAGCGGAGAACAACGCCGCCAAACCCCATCCTGGAAGTGGGTGGCTGTAAAGCAGTCTTCTCGAAAGAGTAAAGAATATATTGAAAGTGGCACTAGGAACGAGGCCCGAGAGCTATAGTACGAAGTCTGAAGGGGCTAGAGAGCCGTTAGGTGAAACTAAGGGTTAAATTTCAACAGGAGCTTGACAACAAAGATGTATTATAAGGCTGAAGAGTGGAAAAGGTTTGCACTTGTACACAGTCCAGGCAGCATTGTTGAATGAAAAGGTTGGGTCCCAGGGGTCATGGTGTCGCAGCAAGCAGATCAGTGGAGGCATTTCCTTGGATGCCTTCAAGGCTTGTGGAACTCGAGGAATCCTTCAATCGCTTTCACAAGAGGACCCGTCCACACCATCAAGATGTCGATCCACGGACAAGGACGGAGCTCACGACACATTTGATTGGGAAGAAAGAGCAGAGGCGGGGACAAAGCTGATAATCCCCGTCACAAGCCACACCCACAGCCCAGCCCCCAAACGTCATCATCCAAACAGGGCTCGTTCTCATTGGTTTCCTGCTACTGTGACTAAGCCCTGCCCAGACATCCCCTGATTCGGCACCGGCACTGGACCCTGGACCCTAAATCACATGTCTGTCACCAGGTCTCGTGTCCATATTAGTGACCGCATTAGGGAATCACCCATTGCGGCCGGGTGGGTCCACGGCCGCAACACTTACTAGTAGTGACAATTACTAGCCACAGTTACTCATTGGCCGCCAGTTGTATACCGCCACAGAGCAACATATACACAGCCACACTTCTCCTGCTCTACCAAAGTTCATAACGTCACGACTAACACCGAATGGTTTCTATGTTTAGCACAAGCTTAAAGCAAGATCGGACCGTGCCACTGTGGTAATCGTGGCAGCGGTTGAGGCTGGACTCGGCAGATGAAAGCCAAGCGATGCCAATATCTGGAAACAAGACCCCATCTCAACTCTATCCATATACCTGAACGAGCGATAGCACTAGAGATTAACCAACCTATGCCAGGCGAACCATACCATCATGCCTGCACGTCGATTAAGATCTTGCAGTGGTCCTCGCGGTCGTTGACCAGGGTCTCGAATCCCTTTTCCACCGTCTCATTCAACTTTATTTTCGACGTAATCATCTTTTCTGGTTGCAATTGGCCTGCAAGACGGAATGCAGTCAGAAAATGTGGTGGACCAAAGTCAAGAAGTCTCTCTAGAACAGCTTACCATATCCAAGAGCCTTGATAACGGCTGCGAAGGAGCCTTCGTCGTACAATGCTGACCCAGTATAATTGACTTCGTTGTACATTAAGTCGTTCACGGGAATTGCGGGTTTCTTCTCCCATACAGCAACATTAATGATTGCACCATGCGTGCGACACGCACTAATGGCGCCGTTCAATGCTTTTTCCACACCAGCAGCATCAAAGATGACATCGGCACCCACACTGTCCGTCACTTCCATGACCCTCTGGGTCACATCCTCCTGTCCCGGATCAAAGGCGTGCGTAGCACCGTATTCGATCGCAAACCTTCTGCGCTTCTCATAGAGCTCTGATAACATGATATTCTTAGCGCCTTGCAACTTTAACACCTGTACAATGCCGATTCCAACTGGCCCGCCCCCTACCACCATGACATTATCGCCCATCTTGAAGGGTGATAGATTGACAGCGTGCCAGGCGACAGCCAGTGGCTCGATCAAGGCCGCCGCTTCAAGAGATACGTTGTCAGGGATCGGATAGAAATGTTCTGCCGGTGCAACATGGTACTTTGCCAACCCGCCACCGTACCCTGCAGGATGCGTCAGTATCATCGCCAGCTATGTATTGTTTTGACAGTGGCCGCATACCAGAAAGTCCAATGAAGCCTATGTTCTCGCAGCAGTACTCATAGCCACGTTTGCAAGCTGGGCATTGTCGGTCGAAGATGGTCGGACGTACGACGACCCGCTGTCCCGGAGACACATGCGCTACTCCCTCCCCTACCTCCTCGACGATGCCGCTGATTTCATGACCAAGTGTCACTGGACATGACCGTCCGGTTATATTATGGGGTTCTTGAGGTATCAACACAGGACCACCGGTATATTCATGTATGTCTTGCTCAAATCAGTTTATTTTTGGATAAATGCAATATAGAGGTAACTAAAGCTTACCACTGCCACAGAGCCCAACGAAAGCTGGTCGGATCTACTATTTTCACTTTGAATCAATATATTCTTGTTCATGCCGTAGGTATAGCGCAAAGTACCTTTACTTCCCCTTTGCCACAAATAGGCTCATCAATTGTTTCAACCCGGATGTCGCGGGGTCCATGGAAGCGGACCGCTTCCATTAGGGGCGTAGTCTTCAGTGTCGCTCGGACAGTACCCGTGTCAAGAGTTGTGTTCAGCATTTTTTTAAGCATAAAAAGTATCCCACAAATGCGAAAAGCTGGTATAAATTTAGATTCATTTGAAAGATCGTATAGTTGCACTATCGCTGTGTATTGCGAGAAGGCTCCCAAAAGAGATTCCTCCCTTCAAATATATATATGTAGTATGCTATCGAGGCGAATTGATGTAGCAGGAGACGCTATCATGACGTGGTCCACAAGCATTAGATATCCATAAAGCAAACAACCCTGAGATCTGATTGGTCAGGGCTCTGCGACTGTTCATCTGATAATCATTACACCATCTATGATGTTAAAGACGTTCTCCTGGGATGAAAGCCCCGACAACATGATTCGTCAAGACACCTCCAGATGAGATGGATAGGTGAGCACGACCCTGTAATAGATCCATCGGCCTTGAAGGCAATAATATGTTGATATCACCACGTGAGCTGAAAATAGTCATCCCTAACGCGGGGAAACAGTCAGTGGCGTCATCTCATTCTCCAGATATCTTGGCTACTGAATCCCACTGGCGGGATCATGTAGCTGCTCCTGTCGAAACAGTTAGCCTGCGTGTCATTGAAGTAAAGTACAATTAGGTTACACTTACGGGGGGTACTAAGGCAAGTCCGGAGAAGGAAGCCGCCAATAAGTCTGGGGTTACATTACCCCGTAGGGGACTGAACACAAGGACCCGGCCACTCATAAGAGGCAAATGTTCATACTATAGAATTTCGATGTTTCAAGTTTCTTCCTCGCGCTGCTGGTCAACAAAAGCGCGCAGGATGGATTCCAGCCCTTCGTTGCGCCGGGCCAAAAGCATTACGTCGGAAACATTAACTGTCGAACGTCCGGCATGCCTAATAAGGAAGTTCCGAATCGGTCAGCAACCCGCCATATCGAATCATACCAAAGGATCCTCTCTGCCAATGTCGCACAGAAGTACGGTAAGAAAAGCGGCGAAAGAATAATAACAGCAAGGCAGAGCACCCATCCATAAGATGATTTGAGTCGCAAATCAGCCACTTACTTAGCAAAGGATTCCAAATCCTGGCTGACTGTCTCTGTTTATCGAAGCTGATCAGTTTACACGCCACCATGAACTAACTGTGACGAAAAGCTCCATGGCTGTTCGCTCTGCGAAAGTGGACATACCTATTTGGGCCCAAACCATCTCCGTCAAGGCCCCGATGAATTGCGGCGTGGCATTCACACCAAGTTTGATGGTTTCATCATCAACTATCTTGCCAATAGCTAGCCAAAGAGCGGATTTCAGGCGCTATGAAGAGAAATTGTAAGATCTGCTTCGGACTAAGTGATCCATATCACCACGTACCTCTTCCAGACCAACTTCTTCATTTGGATCCATGTTCAGCAGACAGCCGGGAGTGACCGATAATTCAACCCCCCAGAGTTGATAGCCGAGAAGATAGCTTTTATCGATACTGATGGAAACGATGTAGTTACGATCTATACTTGATCGCGCGCGACGGTGAACAGACGCGTCCATGGATGGAGAACAACTGACGCCGCCTGTGATTGGCTACGGCTAAAACGGGCGGACAAAAGATCTTCCGAAAGACAGTAGCCACTAGACCAGAATGGAACACTTCCCATTACGGAATTCTTCGCATTGAATGGAGACTAAAAGAAAAGAGCTTGCGGCATCCAGCGGGCAATCCACTTTCAAATCTCTCATACTCTCGCCAGAAAAGGGGTTCGCAAGCCCTCATTTGAGCGCCTGTCTCTAAACCAACTCACATTGAGCTCGCAAACTGAGCCATAACATCTCAATCTCTCTCTTTCGATCTCCGCGAAATCCCGCACCTCTTTCTATAGTAATCCTTTCTCAACACCAACTACCGAGAATAATAAAACCTGCAACCGAATTGAAAATGTCTTCTCCCGACGTTTCCGTCGCCACAGAGGCCTTGAAGGACTTCTTCGGCCAAATATATACCTTCTTCGAAACGATCATCGTCCGCTTCTTCAGGAACCTCTATAACTCTTTCGCGGACGTGGGCTTCAACCGTTGGACCAAGGTCACACTCTCGGTGATCGGTTACGTTTTACTTCGTCCATATATCGAAGCCTGGTTTAAGAAAATGAGTGAACGCGATCGCAAAAAGATGCAGGAGAAGGAAAAGGCTAAGAGGGAGGCACAAGGAGGCAAGAAGGCTAAGGTTTCGGCCAATACACTGCGAGGTGGTGCTACCGGAGGCGGAAAGGTGCTTGGAGAGGTCGAGAACACCGACGATGAAATTGAGGAGGGAGAGGACTTTGCAACTGCCAGCGGAGTGCCGGAGTGGTCAAAGAATGCGAAGAAGAGGCAGAAGAAGTACATGAAGAGCCTGAAGGAGGCAGAGGCGAACGCGAATAAGTTGTCCCAGGACCAGATTATGGAGTTGTTGGACTGGAGTGATTCGGAAAATGAGAAGAAGGATGCATGATTCAAAGGCGTGGAAATTGGCTTCTTTCAGTTCAGTGTGGGTATATGAATTACTAGTAGATTTATCCGACGTTATACAAATATATAATTAATCTTCCTTCTGATATGCTTTTTGGGCATTGACATTGACATTGACATCCATTCGAGGACCTTACTACACTCTTCTGAGAGTTTGCCTTATTTGGTGAAGTACAATCGCTACAATATATCACTGAAATATACCGGGTAGAGTCGGTCTATAGAAATTCTATACCTGATCGGTGTTTTTTCTCAGGCTTGTTCAAAGACCACTATATTGCACATCAATCTCATTGTTATTGAGCAATAATTAATCCGTCCCATCCTAAATACATCCACACAATCAAGTCCTAATCCGTATAAGCCCTCTAGACATAGGCGGACACTCCTTGATAATGGACAGTTCTAGTGCAATCGCCTCAATGCCTCTATCATAACTTTCACCTCGTGGACATTCATCATGCCCACTGAATTGACAATCTCCTCCTGCACATTAGGCTCACAGTTTAAGAACTGTTCAATCAACTCGCCATCCACAAAACGGTATGGTTCCTTTGCTTCTCGGACCATACTGCGGAATCCCCGGAATTCGTTGAATGGCATCTCGCCCAGTGACTCGATCTTGCCCGCCATTGTGGCTTGTAGACGCATTAGGAAATCCTGGTGTTCTGGATTGATTATGGCGAACAGGTAAATGGAGCCCTCCACCTGGTTGTGCAATCCCAGTTAGTGGTGTATTACATAGAGGGAGGGTGAAGGGAAATCACATACCGTGCCTAGGAAAGCTCGCGGGGTGACCGTTACACTTGCCAATTGTTGAATGTTAACTGGCCGGATACGGTTGACCATTTCGCCTAGTGAGATTTCCCCGGTTACTTCTAGCCGGCGCCTATCGTCCTCTTCAACTCCGGCGAGGTTCCGACGGAGAACGATCAAGTTTCCTTCCGCATCGCTCTCTAGGAAAGTGTCCTTGTCGATGCAGGCGACTCCCGTGGCCCAAACGGTCTGGAAGTGGCGAGCCACTTCCGTTAATGAATCAGGAAGGCCGTTTTCCCCTTCCTTAAACTCCACAAGACATACACTCTTCATGAGATCTGAGACCACAATCACGTTGCCTACCACGGTCACATCCACCGGTGCGGTCGATGTTCTGAAACTGGCAAGCTTTTCCAATTTCATTGCACCAAAATTGTTGTTCACTACCTTATAAATAACGATCTGAAAGGCTTCGTCAGACACGGATTCACAACAATCGGCTCAACTATCACTTACTGTTTTGACAAGTGCCGCTACAATCTTGTCTCCTAACATAGCCAGAGCACGACATGCCCCCTTAACAGGTAATTCGGCAACCTTTGTCAGTTTCCGCCCATTGTCAACTTCAAACATTAGTATTCGACCTCGAATCGACTCTTCTCCTTCATCGTCAAGATAAGCCGTTCCAACGACGAACCGATCCTTCATCGTTTCACGTCCATTTTCACCCTTGCCCGCCGGGAATTCTGCGCGAACAACGCTTTCCACTAACTCCTCCGGTCTCAATTCAAATGAATCGAGCTGTCTAAACAGAACCTCATCAGCGAGCATAAATCGGCTTGTGACAATTTCCGCCCCGTCTGCAAGTTTACGCTCTATTGTTCCGATGCCGAACGCCTTTTCCGAAGGTGAATAAGCGACTCTGCGTACAGTTGCACCGATTTGAAGCGTTTGGATCTGGGTCGTCCTCTCCCGATCGACCAGAGCGATCTTGAGCTCGTGTGGTGTAGCCACTGCAATAGATCCAGGATAGGCCTCCGAGTTAAAATGACAGACGCGAGAAGCCCCCTCGGAATTTACTGCAGAGTATATAATACGGCCTTCGGAGCCATATATCAGGCTTGGATTCTCGCATGTCGCAAAGACATTGTAAAGTCCGTCACCCCTTGGCAGTTTCTTGAAAGTTGGCTGCTCAGACCCAAGAATTAGTTTGTTCATTTGGCTTAAGGAGTAGTCATCCAGCTTAAACGAGTAAGTGATAACACTACCATCTGCCATTGAGATGAAAAGGGTAGGAGGACTATCCGCGAGCACGTCCGCAACGAGAACGGATCGTGGGAAAGCCTCTCCGGCTGGGCCCAGCGATGTAGTATGCACTTCAGTCAAGTCTTGAAGCTTGAGGACGGACACCTTGGCAAGTTGAGGGAATCCAACAACACAAACTTCAGTCGGTGATGCAGGAACCGTAACACCAGACACTTGGCTATCGGCCCCAAATTTCTTCTCTGTCACTACTTGCACCTCATTCCGGATATCCAAGACGGTCATAAGCTCGCCTCCAATGACAAGCACCATTGAATCATTGTTAGCAGAAGCAGCGGTGATGACCAGCCCATTCGGCGGTGCCCACTGGTACACGACCATTCCACCTTCCAAATCCGCGATAAGCACCCGTTGCTCAGTAACCTGCAATATTCGGCCCCCAGACAAGTTGGCTGCGAGAAGCGTGTTCTCCGAAAGACTCAGTCCAAGGAAATGATCCAATTCTTCTACCTCACCCTCGGGACTGAAGTGGAATACACGAGTTTCATCAATAAAGGTAACAAGGAGTGTATCCAGTGTGTCCCCGCCAGCGTGGACCTGCAAACCCCATAGATCTGTGATGTGTTCCATGTCACCCAAAACGCCCAGCTCCTCCATTCCGACACCACTGCGCACACTTCGCAGGGTCCCGTCGTCGAAAGCGCCTGAGCCTGTGACAATTCGAGCCTGCCCAGACGAGAATTCATGGGTTTGGCTTTCACTTGTGCGGTTCCCGAGGTCCATTATGGTGAAATCCAATATAGGGGCAATATTGGACAGGGCTTGGATTATTTCAAATGAGCCATTACCGATTCGAAGTACTTGAGAATCCCCTTGATGAGATCCCACAAATACAATCCCACCGCCAAGATATACCAATGCAGAAGCTCGTGATGTATTTCCCAGATGATCCAGCTTCCAACCCTGAACCTGGTTATCCGAGTCTAAAACAAGCATTAAGAAAAATAGCCTTCCATAATCATCGGCTAAGAGCCATCGCTGGCTATCCACTCCTTCCCAAGCGACAAATATCGTTGCTTCATCTAGGGGCCGAGAGATTATTTCATTGTTATCGTCATCAACATATTTAATAGATGTTTCGCCAAGAATGAGAAGACCACCTATAATTGTCAGCCCGGGAGTGCGATAGTGGAGGGAATGCTATATCACATGGCACAGGGAAACTAACCTAGTGGAGCGGGCACGGGTATAAGGTGGGAGGCTCCAAGATCTAGCTCTTGCGCAAAGTCGGCAATATGCGTTAATGTAGCGTCTGCGCTCGTGCTCGCCGTAGCAGAGGTGTAATTCAACTCTCTAACCATCAATCTAACCTTTTTCTGGTTGTCCTCGTAAAGTAAAGCCAAGCGCGGCAATCCTGACTGCACATGGAGGAAGGCAGAGGAGCGTACAAAGAGCTCATCAATCCTCGCTGTCGTCAACTCTCCGAGCTCGCCGACTTTCGGCGCATCAGGCCCAGTAGGGACAGCTGCAGCCCTTCCCCTTTTCCGGCCAGGCAATTGTACAATCGGTACCACAGCAACCAAGCCCTCGTAGACCTCCAGCGTCATGAACCGACCACTCGGGTCTATCAAACATCGGTTACCAGTTTGCGATTCGCGCGACGATGGGTCAGCAATGTCGACATAGTTTCTTTCCGTTCGTATCCGATTTTGCGCACTGTCCCACGATAGAGTGCAGTAGGTGTATCGATCTGTGCCAACGAAAAGATGATCGGTGGGTGAATGGGCGGGGGCAGGAAGTCGAGCCAGCATCGACACTTTGGCATATAGAGTACACGACGCAGCAAGATTCAACCCATCGGGGGTAAGGGTATAAATTTCCAGTCGATTGGCCTTCCTATGACAAATTGGATATATTAGTAACATGTGCCTTGCAGCCAGAGGCCGACCGGTGGATTGTGGTCACCAACGCAACAACCAAGGATTCCTCCTCTGGGTTCAAGAACTGCAGCTTGATCGCATGACGCACGCTGCTCGCCTTATGTATTGGCACGACATAAGCCATCTCGATAGCCTGATGTTCTATGAGCTCGCAATCGACGATCCGGAATGAGCTTTTTGCAGTGGAGACCACTGCGGGGAGATGATAGCACGATCACCCGTCAGATCCAACGGAGTACGGAGAATTACAGGTTGACTCCAGATCGTAATATCGTATATTCAATGTTTGAAGAATATCCACATCTCTAACGACGAGAATACAAGCTGGGACGAGTTGATAGTAAAGGGACCGAAAAGAGAGGGACTGGTACGTAGGACCAGTTCGGGACTTGAGGTAAAAGTCGCAATGACGATGTTGCGGTGCCTTCCAAGACATTAACTCCGGGCTATGGCCGAACACCACCTACAGCCTTGAACTTTCACATCTCTATACTTTTATCCAATACATATTTAAAGTACTTATACATGTGTGTATTTTAAACACTTAGTCTTTCCTAATCATTGTATTTGCACCACGTAATGTTCAAAACTTCCAAAGAAACAAATGTATTTATTACCAAGTTCCGGACATCACACGTGATCAAATGTAGTGTTAAGTTCCGTACATAATTCTTGAAACATTTTCGAACCGTCAAGTCTATCATCCCTCCCTTGGCGAGCTGTGTTTTGCCATGATCAAATAATCATGTCACCCACCGCATGAAGGCCAAAAAGAAGTGCTAGGCATACATGAATCACGCCGAAAGACAACAAAATATAAAAAGGAAAAACAGGCGGAGTATATATGCAAAGATCATCTAGGCATGAGAAGGGAAAAGAAGTCATGTTCATTTAAAAGAAACGCCCATGGAAGAATCATGACCAGACATCCTCCTGGTAGCTTCCACTGCTGCGCATATGCTTGACCATCTCCTCACCCTTCTCGGCGGGAAGACCACGCTGTTGAGCAATAATCTGACCAAGCACCAGATTGACCTCACGTGCCATGTTGGCGGCATCTCCACAAACGTAGAATGTGGCTTTCTGTTTCAGAAGGTCGCTGACCAGCTCAGCTTGTTCACGCAACCGATGCTGGACATAGACCTTTTGAGAGCTCTCGCGAGAAAATGCAGTAATGATCTTCAAGGAATCACCAAGTTGTTCCTCATAAGCCTGTAGTAA